TAATAAAGGCACAGAATCAGGACTGATGAAGGCACAGAATCAGGACTGATAAAAGCACAGAATCAGGACTAATAAAGGCACAGAATCGGGACTAATTAAGGCACAGAATCAGGACTGATAAAGGCACAGAATCGGGACTAATAAAGGCACAGAATCGGGACTGATAAAGGCACAGAATCGGGACTGATAAAGGCACAGAATCAGGACTGTTAAAGGCACAGAATCAGGACCCTTTTGAGATATAATGATGACCATGGATGAACTGAAATTCGGATATGGTTGCAAAATGCTATTAGTAATTATAGTGATGATAGAAGTATTAGATATTTGTAAAGGGAACCAATGTTTTAATCCAGACACTGTTTCTGATGTACATATGAGCTCTAGATTTGATTCTGAAGATTTTCTAGTCCAGGCTTCAATAGGACCTGTTGATTGTATTAGAACATGCAAATCATGTGGATTATGTAAGTTTGTGAATTTTAACAAAAGGACTCTAGATTGCTCACTCCTGGCAGTAGAAGGTCAGTTGATCACTGACAATGATTATATTTCTATAGAGTCTTATAAATGGAATGATAACATGATGGGTGTATGTAAAGATCATAACTGTCCTTATAATACATTGTGTGTGGTAGAAGATGATAACTATACCTGTATACCATTAGGGTGTGGAATACCACAAACAGATAATATCAATGTCACTTCCTCCAACAGTAAGTTATTGTGGAATTTTGGGGACCTTGTAGAGTATGCTTGTGAACAAGGCTTTTTCACCCACACTAATGCTACTTGCTTGAGCACAGGCCAATGGAGTGAGTTTCAGTGTACTGCTCTTTATACGTCCACATGAATATGTGGTCGTATATTGTCGTTGCCCCTGTCCGTCGGTCCCTCCGTCAACATTTCTTGTGAGCACTATAGAGACTACAGTTTTTATCTGATTTTGATAAAACTTGGTGTGATGCTTCAGATTGATAAGATCTCGGTCAAGTTCGAATTTGACATATTTTCGATGAACGGTTTTTGACATATTGCCCTTGACTTAGAACGCCTTGAAATTTGTTAAAAATTGTTCGTGAGCAGGATTGAAGCTACAGTTTTCATCCGATTCTGATGAAACTTGGTGTGATCATTGGAATTCATAAGATCTCGGACAAGTTCTAACTTGACGCATTTTCGATGAATTGTTTTTGAGTTATTGCCCTTGACTTTGTTAAAACGCGTCAAAATTTGTTAAAAATAGTTCGTGAGCACGATTGAAGCTACAGTTTTCAACCGATTCTGATGAAACTTAGTGTGATCATTGGAATTGATAAGATCTCGGACAAGTTTTAACTTGACGCATTTTCGATGAACGGTTTTTGAGTTATTGCCCTTCACTTTGTTAAAACGCGTCAAAATTTGTTAAAAATAGTTCGTGAGCAGGATTGAAGCTACAGTTTTCAACCGATTCTGATGAAACTTGGTGTGATCATTGGAATTGATAAGATCTCGGACAAGTTCTAACTAGACGCATTTTCGATGAACGGTTTTTGAGTTATTGCCCTTGACTTAGTTAAAACGCGTCAAAATTTGTTAAAAATAGTTCGTGAGCAGGATTGAAGCTACAGTTTTCAACCGATTCTGATGAAACTTGGTGTGATCATTGGAATTGATAAGATCTCGGACAAGTTCTAACAAGAGATATTTTTGATGAACATTTTTTGAGTTATTGCCTTTGACTTTGTTAAAACGCGTCAAAAGTTGTTTTTTGCCCTTGATTAGAGCTGTGTGATTTAATTGTTTGTTGTATTTGGGTTATTGATATTGATTTTAAAAAATTTTGTGGAATTATTCAGCATGAATAATTTCTTCAATATGAGAAAATTCGTACTTTAGTCACTAAAGACTGTTTTATTATTTCTGACAGCTGCCAGTGGGCGTATGTTACCTTGCAACGCAAGCTATCTTTCTAAATGTGGTGATAATTCAGTCTGTGGTCCACAAGAAGAAAAGTTTTACTGGCTCCTCCTGATTGCTACTGGGACTCGACAGAAGGTCCATTGTAAAAACGAAATTGGCCCTTCACAACATGGCATCAACTCCTGCATACAAAAGAACTGCTGGATCATGTGACTTGATTCCTGAACCAGACCCACAGGCGCATGATATGGGTTATACAGATTATCAAATGACAAGAGTAATACTGAATCCTCTGAACACGAAGATAAATAACAATTATCTATTTGTAGATTTCAGTTCCTATTCATAAGGTTGTGTCTTTACAATTGTATATCTGTAGATTTCCACCATTTAAATAGTATCAGCACAATTATATTTTTGTAGATTTCCACTATATTATAAAGTTATGTATAAGTTGTAGATTTCCACCATAAAGTTAGTACAGTTTTTTGATTGTAGATTTCCACTATATAGTATGGATCAGCACAGAATTCTAGAAGATTTCAAAAATTACAATATGTGGAACTGAAAATTTCTATTAGCAGGTTACATTAAATATTATTCTAATTTGCTCTGAATCAGAAAATTTGTTCTATAGAAAATGATATGTATTTTAGATGTTGTGTGAATTCAAAATGATAATCAGATTCTCTTACAATTTAATAAAAAAAATGCCCCAAGTAAGTGTTGTTAAAAAGATGACATCATGGCCTTCTGTTATTACTGAAAGTTATTGAAACACCTTTAAGGTGACATTAGATGCATAGCTCATTTCAACCACATTGCAGAAGAACCAGGCATTTAGATTTAGATTCTGAAACGTGCTACTGATAGCTAATTTGGACTCTCTCAGTATGTAAAGATAAGATTTTGACATTGTTATCCCCATCTCCACAATGTGAAACTATTACAAACTATGTCTTGTACCTTGACTCCATAGCTACCTTTCTTGTATCAAGGAAGTTTTAATATGCAGCGATTTGATTGGATTGTACACTAGTTGACTACTGTTGTACCCCTACACCATTGTGTCCAAACCACACCCCAATTCGTCATACTTCCTTTGGGCCGTGGTAACACAAGTGAGAAAAATTACGTTTCCATAGCTAAATATGATTCAGTCAAAATTGGCCCTACAGTATTGGTAGCAAATTTCAGCCACTGAAAACAAATCACTTGTTATGTTTGTGAATGAAAACAAAACGAAAGCAGGGTGCCATGACATTTTTTTGATGAATGTGTACGGTACAAAAGAACTGAAGCCGAGAGAAAATCAAACCCTTACTTTGGAATATTTACTTGGAAAGAATGTGTTCTACAGGCAGCGGCAAAGCTTTTTTGTTAACATGATCGCATTACTGTTCTACCGATCTGATTGGTCAAATTTAAATGCCACAAATCTGGTTTCCACGCCCCCAAAAAGAATTATAGTGAGCTTAGTTTAATACCGGTTAATATGACCATGTCAAAACCTGTATTCCTGATACGATGCCTCTACAGTAAATCCAATCAAATTTGGATGCATTTACAATCTTAAAGATGGGTTTCCTTATTTTTTAGTGTCAAATTAATGTGAGCCAGACTGGTATTTTTCCAAGTCATTAGAACACCTCTACTTTCTATCCATATAAGTATTAGCATTTTCATTTTCATAAATGAAAATAATGGAACACATGTTTAAGGGATACAGGTGTACAGAAAGGTGGCTATTATGAAACTAAGTTATAACATGATATCATCAATTTCCTTTGATCTTTTCATTGTATAAATGGGTGGGAGGTGCTTGCCTGTTGTATAAATCGTTAAATGGATTTCATTCGTTAACAGATTTAAACGCAGCGCCCTTTGGGCTTGGCGTTTAAATGGGTTAACAAATGAAAACTGTGCTATAGATATTACTTGTAAGACACAGTCATAATAGCTTGACATTGTTAATATCATATGATTGATCATTGATTATAAATACTATGTAATGTCAGTATCATTTATGATTTATAAAGTTTGAAACAAGTTCTTCCAATTAGTCTTCTTCTTGCTTCACTAATAGTTCTTTATATGTAAAGGTTAAGTACTATTGTACTCTAGTACCCCTCAGGTTATACAGTGTACCTGTAAATATCTAATATATATATAGACAAGTTGACATGACAGGCAGTGGAACTTCATGTCCTAGAGGTTATGACAGGCCGTGAAGTATGCAATGGGAAATTTTGCACAGACCTCTGCATTAGCTAACTCTTTCATTTTTCAGCTGTATACAGATCTTTAATGTACACAGAGCTTTCATTTTTTTACCCACTTGAATTCCATGTTTTAAGTATAACCTCTACTGGAGCTCTTATTAATTGGTATTGCATGGACAAATGTTAAGAAGGCATCAAGAAACAAATGTAGAGAATGTTTGCCCTTATTGCCAGCGTAATTGTAAGAACTAAGACTAAAACAGAAATGTTTCATCATGCAACTAGGCATCTCTTTTAGTGAGAAAAGAAGGTGGAACATTTTTGGCGTGAAATATTTCTCCAAAAAAACTTTTTAGGATTTTTCATTGATTATTGCTTCAAGTAGTTGCTTTTATATTTTTATAATACATATTTTTTAGCAAAAGATTCTTATCTTGTTATTTATATTAATGACTATTTCCTTGTTTTTTTCAGAAATTATAATAATTCTTAGGAATAAATTGTTTTTCTTAAGGTTTTAACATATTGATCTTTCTATATCTGGTACATTGACATCTAAATTTTTGCCCAATACATCCTTTTACTTCTGCCACCCCATTTCAAGAGTCAACTATTTCCTTTAATTCTACACTATATGATGGCTAAAAGTTAAAAGCTGGTTTATGAAACGACAAAACAACATGAGCTCTACACAAATTCTGAATTCTCGAAAGACAAACAAAAACTTTCCTGTCAAATTATATCGAACCCTATAAACTATCTATTTGCTTAAATCAAACATGGATTCCCAAAGCTACAGAGATTATATTTGACACAGTGATAGTCTTCTGTGTTCAGGATGTATATAAATTAAACTATAATTTGATGTTGTAGATTGCTAAGAAAGGAATCAATGTGGTATTGATCAGTAGAACACAATCTAAATTAGATGAACTAGCCACAGAAATAGGTAGGTTTACTGTGTCTAGACAATATTGATGTCACTTTTTCTTCCATACAATGACTATTATCTCCTGTTTTTCTGTTATCCAAATTCATTCATACCCTCATGGAAATGTGGGTGTATGTTGCCGTCACCCATATCCGTCGGTCAGTCAACATTTCTTGTGAACACAATAGAGACTACAGTTTTCAACTGATTTGAATGAAATTTGGTGTGATCATTTATATTGATGAGATCTTGGACAAGTGTGAATTTAATGATATTTCAATGAACAGCCTTTGAGTTAATGCACTTGACTTACGAAAAACACGTCAAAATTTGTTTGTGAACACATTAGAGACAGTTTCCAATTAATTTTAATGCAACGTGGTGTGATCATGTATATTGATGTGATAATTTGATGTTTTTGTGTTATTGATAATGATTTTTAAAAATTTTGTGGTATTTCTCAGCATAAATAACTGGCAGTAAATATATATATCATTGAATTCAAACTATTAAAATTTCTTTAATATGAGAAAATTCATACTTTAGTCTAAAGACTGTTTAGACTGACAGCTGCCAGTGGGTGTATGTTACCTTGCCTGACAAGCTATCTTTGTGTCATGTTTTGGGAAGTTTGCATGTTTAAGTATAAGCTTATTGAATGTTGTTTTTGATTTCCGAAGCTGGCTGTCTTGATGAAGATTCTGATTCTGTATGAAGTCTCAGACATAGATAAGCATTATCAATTGAATTCCTGCTGGCACTGTTTTATTTAATTTTTTTTTTTTTTTTGGAAAGCAAGCTTACATTATGAACACAATAAGAGTTTAGATCAGACTTCGATAATGGCCTAAGGTGATATTTCTAATTGTTTTGATTTCACATTTTTTTCTCTCTTGACTCAATCATGAATATGTTTATCTACACAATAGCTAAAGTAGAGTTTGATTATATAATATTATTATATTGTAGAATCTAAGTATAAAGTTGAAACGAAGACTATAGCAGTAGATTTTAGTAGAACTGATATATATGATAAAATTCGAGTTGGTTTGACTGGACTAGATATTGGTACATTAGGTAATTTGGTAATTAAATAGTGACCTCTAGTCAATATGCATCATAACTTTGGATATAAAGGAGCTTTTTTTGGTGTATCAAAAAAAATATTTATGATTTATATTTGCATTATTCCAATTTATATGTCAGATGTCTGTGGTTCCTGAAATAAAATAAATATTATTGTTTTGGCAAAATTTCTTTCAATTGCTTACTGTATGGTGTTGCATTATTACTTCACTAAAATGCAAAAATGTAAGATGTAAAACTCCAATTTGTATTCGCATAATACTTTTAAATTGTAGACTTACTATATTTATTTTTTGATAGAATATTTTTTTTTTATATTTCAGTTAATAATGTTGGAATGAGTTATAGCTTCCCTGAATATTTTGCAGATCTTGAAAACAGGGAAAAGGTATAAAATCCCACTCTTTTTTCTGTTAAATAACTTTTCGTGCTCAACCTTGGCTATTATTACATACCTATATCCATATCACATCATCTTCAACAAATATTGTTACTTTTATAAACAAGATGTCCCATTGTACCATTTGAGCCAAAATTCAGAATATACAAAATGTTATATTGATCTGAATTGCTTCAAAATTCAGAATATACAAAATGTTATATTTATCTGAATTGCTTCAAAATTCAGAATATACAAAATGTTATATTTATCTGAATTGCTTCTAAATTCAGAATATACAAAATGTTATATTTATCTGAATTGCTTCAAAATTCAGAATATACAAAATGTTATATTGATCTGAATTGCTTCAAAATTCAGAATATACAAAATGTTATATTGATCTGAATTGCTTCTAAATTCAGAATATACAAAATGTTATATTTATCTGAATTGCTTCTAAATTCAGAATATACAAAATGTTATATTTATCTGAATTGCTTCAAAATTCAGAATATACAAAATGTTATATTGATCTGAATTGCTTCTAAATTCAGAATATACAAAATGTTATATTTATCTGAATTGCTTCTAAATTCAGAATATACAAAATGTTATATTTATCTGAATTGCTTCTAAATTCAGAATATACAAAATGTTATATTTATCTGAATTGCTTCAAAATTCAGAATATACAAAATGTTATATTGATCTGAATTGAGTCAAAATTCAGAATATACAAAATGTTATATTTATCTGAATTAAGTCAAAATTTAGAATATACAAAATGTTATATTTATCTGAATTACTTCAAAATTCACAATATACAAAATGTTATATTTATCTGAATTAAGTCAAAATTTAGAATATACAAAATGTTATATTTATCTGAATTGTTTCAAATTCACAATATACAAAATGCTATATTTATCATAGGTTTATTAAAGGGACAGGTTCGCCATCATTTCGCCTGAGTTTAAAAGAGACTCTGCCATATTTAAAAAAAGACGTATGAAAAAAGAAAGTGAAATTCCTAATTTCAGGTATTTTAAGGGATTATGCAATTTTCTTACATTTCTAGTACTTCTGAAGACTATTTACAAATATTCAAGACTCAGCCCTGGAAAATTGCAAATCTGTCCCTTTAAATGACATAAAATGGAAATCAATATGGATCTAACACGATGCATACTGCAGAATTTAAAAGTGGCTAAAAAATAGTCAAATTGTAAATAAGTGCATTAAGGTTTTAGATAGAGTAAGAGTTGAAAAAAATTGAAAAAATCATTCAATTAGATTGTTTATGAAGACATTTTTTAATATTTCTTAAAGTTTTTTGGATGCATTCCATGTTTTTGGATATAAATCTGCATCTTTAATGATTATTATTATAGATTATCAATATTTGAAGTATGTTGCAGCTTGAAAAAGCTGTGTATGTCATCACAAACAAGTGCATTTTGTTTTTGGATAAAAATAAAAGAGTTTAAAAATGAAGGAATCTCTTATAGAGACATGTTTTAATATTTCATAAGCTGCTATGTTCTGTACTAAAATCTTCTAATGATTATTATTGATTATTGATATTTTATTTTTATAATATGTTTTTAACTTCAACTCTGATTGTGTTTATTAATTACTGATATTGTTTTTAATTAATATTTTTTCAGGTATTGATTGATATGATAAACACCAATATGACTTCCTGTTCTATGGTAAGTACAAAATCAGGATTAGGCATATTACAGTATATTTGTATATGTATAATGCACAGTTTTTTACCCTAAAAAGGACTGAAATTATAATCTAACTTTGCAGATCAAGATATTTTTTATTGTTTCTGCACTTAACTACTTTCATCTCTGTATATTGTAAATGACTAGTATAGTGTTGTAAATCTGTATATTGTAGATGACTAGTAAAGTGTTGTATATCTGTATATTATAGATGACTAGTATAGTGTTGTATATGTGTATATTGTAGATGACTAGTATAGTGTTGTATATCAGTATATTGTAGATGACTAGTATAGTGTTGTATATCTGTATATTGTTAATGACTAGTATAGTGTTGTAAATCTGTATATTGTAGATTACTAGTATAGTGTTGTATATCTGTATATTGTAGATGACTAGTATAGTGTTGTATATCTGTATATTGTAGATGACTAGTATAGTGTTGTATATCTGTATATTGTTAATGACTAGTATAGTGTTGTAAATCTGTATATTGTAGATTACTAGTATAGTGTTGTATATCTGTATATTGTAGATGACTAGTATAGTGTTGTAAATCTGTATATTGTAAATGACTAGTATAGTGTTGTATATCTGTATATTGTTAATGACTAGTATAGTGTTGTATATTTGAATATTGTAGATGACTAGTATAGTGTTGTATATCTGTATATTGTAGATGACTAGTATAGTGTTGTATATTGTAGATGACGAGTATAGTGTTGTATATCTGTATATTGTTAATGACTAGTATAGTGTTGTATATCTGTATATTATAGATGACTAGTAAAGTGTTGTATATCTGTATATTATAAATGACTAGTATAGTGTTGTATATCTGTATATTATAAATGACTAGTATAGTGTTGTATATCTGTATATTATAAATGACTAGTATAGTGTTGTATATCTGTATATTATAAATGACTAGTATAGTGTTGTATATCTGTATATTGTAGATGACTAGTATAGTGTTGTATATTGTAGATGACTAGTATAGTGTTGTATATGATAGATGACTAGTATAGTGTTGTATATCTGTATATTGTAAATGACTAGTAAAGTGTTGTATATCTGTATATTATAGATGACTAGTATAGTGTTGTATATCTGTATATTGTAAATGACTAGTAAAGTGTTGTATATCTGTATATTGTAAATGACTAGTAAAGTGTTGTATATCTGTATATTGTTAATGACTAGTAAAGTGTTGTATATCTGTATATTGTAGATGACTAGTATAGTGTTACCAGGAATGTTAGAGAGGAGAAGAGGTATTATTATAAATATTGCATCATCATCAGCTCTCTCACCTCTACCCTTACTTACAGTCTATGCTGCTACCAAGGTACACTTTCTTTATTTTACTTATTATTTTCATGTCTGACTTATTGAATGAAAGGGATTTAATAATCTGGTTGTATCTCATGATTTTGACCATTATAGTAGTGGCAGTTGTCACAGACCATGCTTACTCTTTTCGAAACACCTGATGGTACTTCTCTTTGGAGGAGTCAACTAAATACAACTCCCGATTCTGCCAATTTTCAGACAAGGTTTTTGATTGACAGAGTTGTCTTTCTTGTACAGATTTTTATTTCTCTGTAGACAAGCTGATTTGCAGCTCATTTAGGGAAAGGAAATGCCTCGTTCTGTAGCACATTGCAGAGTGAAAGTCCCATTTCTGGTTAACCAGCAATCATATGAAGGTCAGAAAATTTTCTTGTCCAACTCAACACTTGCAAGTAATGTAATAATAGAACTTTATTTTGCTTTATTTTAGGCATATATGGATTTTTTCTCACGAGGGCTAAATGAAGAAACTGCCAGTAAAGGTGTTATACATCAGGTTAGATTTATTATTATCATATCTTAGTCTAGTAGAATAGAGGGTTGTGTCCGTGAGTTAAATCACTCCAGATATCTAGGGTTTTAGTCACAAGAGATATCTATATAACAGATACCTGGTTTTCCATCGTGGTACAGATCTTATGGAGTGATGCAGTAGAAGAGTGGATTCTTTCAAAAGAAAGCCTCAAAGAGATTCAGAGAAATTGGTTGTCTTCTAAACTTGGGAGTTTCCATTGCCTTAAACTTCACCATTCTCATGAAGTATTTAGCTTTCGTTATAGATACAGTTGAGGAGCAAAAACTTCAATATTTCAATCTGAAATTCTATTGAGTAAGGTTGCCTTGTGTTTTATAAGATCGCTGGTAACAGGAAGACACAAATCAATCCACAATGTATTTTGTAGGTTGTTGTACCAGGGTTTGTAGCTACCAAATTATCCAAGATCAGGAGAGCTAATCTATTTGCTCCTACACCATCTACGTTTGTATGCAGTGCGTTAGCTACTGTTGGTATTGAGTCACGTACATTTGGATATTGGTCTCATGTCATCATGGTAAGTATAGTCTAGCAAAATTATTGCCCCCCTAGAAAAATGGTTTGTACCCCAACTTCATTCCTAATAAAATTGAAAACACGATTTTTATACGTTTTGATTCAAAATATGTGGCAGAATGCACTAAATTAGTTCTAATTAGCTAAAACTTTCTAGGGAAAAACCTCTTAGACTCTCCATGAGAGACATGCAACTATCTTCTCAACAGAACTTCTGCATTTTTAATCTCAACCTTGACAGTAAAATTGTCCTTATTTAGTCAGTCTGTCCCCTATTTGCAGCCCCGTCTCAAGAAGCTAGCACCGCCACTGGAATTTATGTTGTATGACTATTTTCAGGATTTGGCCAGGTCTGTCTTACCTTCCAGTTTTGCCCACAATATTCTACTGAAAGCTAGAGCAGCTAACTATCGTAAAGCTAAGAAGAGTACCTAAATCTGGGTATATTGGATGGAGAAAACAGATACAGAAAGTGTTAAATGCATAATTAAGGCCATCTTCAGTCTTTAACAATTTAATAAAAAAAAAAGTAAATGGGTAGTATGTGTATTTATTCCAGCATTTTTCATTCAAATTTAGTAAAATCCAAGCCAAAACTCAAAGTGAAAAATTAGATCATTGACCAATCATAATACACATGTATTTATATATATATTATTATATTTGGGTTTAATATCATCTCTTATCTTCAAGTCTAAATGTCTGGTATATTTTGGGTATAGAGAACTGATTTTAGAATTGCTCAATATTATAATTTGGCTGAATATTTAGACATCAAAATTCTAACTCTCAAAATGAATTTGTGCAAACTTATTCCAGTGACCATACAGAGTGTTGGCAGAATAGCAGCATTAGCCTTTTTAACTGTCCATAGCACATACAAATCCCTTATTTTATCTAAGCCTGGTCTTATATTTATTGAGGGTTTTTTGTTTCCACTTCGAGAATTTGTGAATTATTCATCCAAGTACATTTTGCACTTTATTTATTTTTGGTAATTCCGTCACTTGCCTTATAAATTGTTTTATTTTTCTATTCCTACTATATCTAGTAATTGATGTAATGTGGTGTTTACAATAATAAAATATTTTCACTGTTAAGATAGTGCTCAGAACGATTGTAGAGTGATATAACAATATTAAAACAGAACTAATTCTAATGTTGTGCTTGTATGTGTATTAAAATACTTTTATATATGGTCCCATAAAACTATGTTGGTTTGTGAAGTGTTATAAATTTATCATCTGCCCACTTTATATAAATCAGGAATTTTCTGATAATAAGTCTGCAATTTTATTGTAAAAAATGTCAAAATGTTTTCTACTTAGGTTATAGATTGTTTTATATTATTAACTATTAGTGTGTTCTTGTTTTACTTCCATTTGTTGCTTTTTTGTATGATTTCTTTTCATGAATAAATGTTAAGTGGTTATGTCCGTATATTTAATTCCAGCCATTTCACAAAAACACAGTCAGCTGACCAAGTAATGGACAACACTCTTCTCTGCTATCAGTTTCATGCCTCATGAACTGATACGCAGCTCTGGAGAACTCAAACAGCACAGTGGTGTTTCTAGAAAACATCAGGTGAGGGGGCCAAATTGGAGCCACAAAATTTCCCAAGAGGACCACAGGCACTATTTAAAATGATAAAATGAGAAAAGTATAAACTTTTGAATTGAATATTTTTATAATGGTTGCTAGAAAGACTAATATGGTTCATGTCTATCACATGTGATCTAATTCATGAATCTGTGAGAACAGATTAGGCTTCACCCATTTAGATACAGTTGTTAATCACCACAAACAACCGTACAAAATAACCTTGCTCCAATCTTTCTAGATATCTTTTATGCATTGGAAGTTCCTCAAGCATACCTAAATACCATTTTGTCTGAAAAGCATTTGTCGTTCAAAATTAAATTTCATTTCTGATACACGCTTTGTTGTTTGTGGGTAAAACATGGCAGCTGATTATAGCTAAGACGATTGGTCAATATTCAGCTGTCAATCATTCTCATGGGTCTGTGAATATAACAACTAATAGAAAATATTTAAAATAGATATTTATTTACATACAAAAATAAGACCTTATTATGATTATCAAAAATAATTGAGCAAATGAAATGACTAGGTTATAATGACATGATTTATTATACAGAGAATATAATACAAAATAAAAATTATACTCATTGGAACGAGACAAACTTTGATAAGGAAGAACATATTTTGGAAGATATGTTGATCATAAGATTTCAATTTAAAATTTACAAAGTTTTTCTCTTTCTTATGTTACTAAATATAAAACCTATTTGGTTTGCCCACTGATATATATAAATATATCACAAAAATAATAAACCAACTTAAAGGTTGTTTAAATCTATCTTCCTGAGCAAATAAAACACTATTCCAGATATCCTGAACACTAAATGGAATACAATTTGTTTGGATGGAATGAAAAGAAAATGCATAGCTGTAATGTAGCCTTAATTGGAGATAGGCAGGTATTAAGACTATAGACTCTTAATGCATGACCTCTCCACCTGAGAAGCCTAACTAAGAAGAAAACTTTCATGAGCTTATATCTCACAGATATTGTATATTATGTATGATTTAAAACTGTAAACATGATAACCTACCTCAAATTCTGAAAAAAAATATTTTAATTGCTTACTAGATTGATACCAGAATGAAACCCATTTTAAGTGTCCAGTTCAACTGCCCATGTGTCCTATTCAAGGTTTCCGTTCATATGTTCATGTGTCCTGTTCAAGTGTCCCGGTCAAGGTCAACTGTTCATGTGTCCCGGTCAACTGCCCATATGTCCTGTTCAAGGTCAACTGTCCATGTGTACTAGTCAACTGTAAAGTACCAAGTTCACCTGTTCATGTGTTCTGGTCAACTGTCCATGTATCTAGTTCAACTGTCAAGGCACCAAGTTCAACTGTTCATGTGTTTTGGTCAACTGTCCATGTATCCAGTTCAACTGTCAAGACACCAAGTTCAACTGTCCATGCGTTCAGTTCAACTGTCAAAGTGCTAAGTTCCATTGTCCATGTGTCCAGTTCAACTCTTAAAGCACCAAGTTCAACTGTCCATGTGTCCAGTTCAACTGTCAAAGTGCTAAGTTCCATTGTCCATGTGTCCAATTCAAATGTCAAAGCACCAAGTTCAACTGTCAAAGTGATAGGTTCCATTGTCCATGTGTCCAATTCAACTGTCAAAGCACCAAGTTCAACTGTTCATGTGTCCAGTTCAACTGTCAAAATACCAAGTTTAACTGTTCATGTGTCCAGGTCAACTGTTCATGTATCCCGGTCAACTGTCAAAAGCGCCCAAGCTCCACTGTCCATCCATGCACCCTTTTTCAATATTGTTCAAGTGTCCTGGTCTAATAACGTCTGAATGTTTATTGGAGTTTTTAATGTGTCATGTTCAATTGTTCATGTAACTATACCTATTCTGTATAGATATTGAAGGCACTAGTTTGAAAGTTTTCAAATGATAGCAACTCATTTCTTTAAAAGAGGCAAGGATTATGCATATTTAGAAAATTAAATAAAACTCATTATCTCCAGTGAAAGATCCTGGCTCTTGATCATTTCCAACAGAATAAATGCCACATAGTGAAATCTCTATCATCTACCATGAACCAACTAGATATTAATGGGAGTCCTGTACAGCAGAAAACTTGGCTAAATCTTCTCCAGCTCTTCTCATTATCTCTATAGCCATCTGACCTTTATATATAACAAAATTCAAATCACATTGAAAAAGCCGACAGCAATCCTCAGGGCATTATGCCTCAATAAATTCTCCTAATTGGATGTTAAAATATTTTCTGAATTATTGTGAACAGGATTTCTGTTTGTACCATGCCAACTTGCTTAAATGTAAGCCGCAAAATCTGCTTTTTTAGTGAAGACATTTTTAGGGGAATTGCAGGAATCGCGGACATCTGACTCAAAAATTGAAATGGAGCTAATGTCCACCTGTCTATAGTGAAATAAAATGTACTACTTACTGCCGAGTTGTGTTTCTGGTTTAAAATCAATGTCTTCACCGACAGCATTATGAAATAGCTTTTGTTTGATTATAGTATAACCTCCTTTAGTTGGTGTGGAGGATCCAACAGGGTTCAATGATACATCTAAACTATCTGGATACAAACTGGATGCAAAATTCAATGCATTTTTCACCTTATCAAGCCCCTTTCCTTCAGATAACAACGAATCAGCCTGACTTTTGCCTCCTGCATCACTTTCAGGTTCAAGATCTAATGCAGAGGAGGGATTTGATTGGCTATAATTAAAGCTGTCACCAAGGTCATGGGGGTCAATACTAGATTCAGTTCTAAGAGGTAGAGAGCTAAATTGACTGGTTAAGTTAGTATGAAGACTCGTTAATTGAATACTGGCAGTTTGGTATCCTGTGTCCTGATTGGTCGAATTTGGCAATGGAGCATTATCACTGTTCATTTCCATATCAGAGTAATCTGGGATGTCTGTAATTGGATCACATGATTTGAAAGCGTCTGTTTCCATGGCGGTGGCCTCTGTCAGAGCTAGTGGTGATATACTGGTAGTACAGGTAGCGTTGTCGATAGTTTGAAACTGAGGTGACAGTGTAAACTGACTGACTTTACTACTGTAAGATCTCGGGTTTGAGGCATGAGGTGTTGACTCATCAGAACATTCATCATTTTCTGGAATATAAATAAATAGTTTTCCCATATAAAGGAAAAAGAAGTTGAATTATTTGCCCATGATTTCAATCGTAATCAATTGGAAATCTTTTCCACATTTTTGCACAACATATTTCTATAATTAAGATTTACTCAAAGTTAGCCAGAAGAAGACATTGAAGCTGTACCATCTTTAATAATAAGCTGAGATAAATATGCCTTTAAAGGAAACCACAAAAAGATCAAGCTTACCTGGAAGATAAGATGCTCCTAATTCCTTTCTGATAGGGGACATGTTAGGACTTGGAAGGGGAGGGAACTCTTGGTCACTGAAATTTTCTTGAATAGGACTGGTACATAAACTAGATACTGGAGCAAATTCACCTGATGACCTTATAGTTCTCACTGAAAAAAAATACAATTCACAATAATAAATGATGTATCTGTTTGGTAAGTAAAACCATACCACCTTAAACAACAAATATTTTTTAAAATATAGATGAATGAAAGAAAGACTGGATATTTTCGATTTCTGCACCTTATAGGAAAGATATAAGTGTATAATTTTGCCATGACCTCATCTGCTGAGGCTCAGGATTAGTGTATTTCATTAACTTTCAAACCATAATATAACTTACACATAATAAATAAGACAGGTTCTCAACCCTAATGACTAGAATAAGAACCTCTGAAACTATTATAAGCTATTATCCAATCTATGACTCTGGACATCCAAGGTAACTTGACCGATTACATATAACAAAGTTTTATAGCCAAGCCAATAAGTGAGAGGTCATGTGCTGAAAGCAAATGATTTGAAACTTACATCTCCCACCAGAATGGCGCCTATTTATGGGAGACAACTCTGGTGATGCCAGGAACTCTGCCTCTGTTGAAGATGTTCTTCTGAGGTGATGATATTTTTTACAGGAATTATTGGTGTTGATTGGACTGGAAGCAAACTGAGCCTGAAGAAAAATGATATACAATATAGATATATAAACAGTAGAGAATGTACAATGAATTGCAAAAAACAGCTTCAAATAGACCAAGTTCTAGAATGATTGACATCCTAGTATAATGTTCAACAGTCTATTCTATTAGACAAATTCAAAAAAAATTTTACATCCAGTGAGACACCACCCCCAAAAAACTATCATTCATATGTTCAGTCAAATGGACATTATCTACAAGCTTAAAAATTCACTAAATTAGAAAAATGCAAATGAAATTTGCTACTTTTCTCAGTTTTCTTTCACTTTTCTTATTGGGCTAATGAAGATGGGGAAAAACCATTAGGTGCACAACTCACATTGTTGCCATACTTTGACAGGATAATGACATATAGTTCATTGTGGAATTTAAGGTGCAGCATACAGGCTAGATTATGCAGTGTGCAATGAGGGGAAAGTTTATGATTATAAAGCAGACTTGTAACTTTCTATCTCGTTTGCAAACATTTCAATGAATATTGCAACAGTAATTTTTACATGATCTTCAACCCTTCAACAAACAACAAAGTCTGGAACTTACAGAAGAGGGTGTTTTTAAAGGTGTGTGTCGTTCCCATTCTGGAGTAGGCTGTCTTTTAGATACAGTTGGACTCTCTTCCTGCATAGCTTGATAGGCATCACTTTTACCTAATCTGAAATATACAATAATAAAAATATTTTCACTGTTAAAAAATTGCTCATTTCATCAATTGACACATGTTGTTACTCAGAGTTTAATGTTTTTCAGACAAATGATCTATTTCAGTCTGAATGAATCTGTAATCTGAATGAATAAACATGTTTGAATCTTGAATTCATCTTAGTAACAATAAGTTTTTGTGAAACAGACCTCAAATTATGTCTATATTCTGAATACAAGATATTGAATTTTTCTTAGATTTTAATGAATTATAGCGTTATTAAGAATTCTGAATAAAAGACACTTACTTGACAGGACTAAAAGAAGTATTGCCGTCACCTTGGAAGAATAATTTTCTACGTAATGAAGAAGAACTTAAATCTTCACACACTACATCATCTTCTGATTTATGATTCATATATTGCGCTGTGGATAACAAAAAATTATTTTGAAAATGAAATTGAAGGAAGTTTGTTTTTGCATGAGAGTTGCTAATGAAACTCGTGACTGGATGATTGCTGTGGTGAGAGAACCCCTTTAGAGTGAAATATATTGACCATCATCTTTTTAAGAAACTATTTCGTTGGGAATAAAAATAACTTACCTAAAACTGAACCAATATCAAAATCTAAAGGTAGAGACAATACTGTCTGACAGGAAACTAAAATACACAGACAAAATATTTCAACTATTTCTATAATACTCTGTAATTGATAAATTTACCCCATTGAGCACAACTTTAACAGCGAAAACACTCAATATAAGAAGCCAATATCTCACTTAAAAAATTACTTAATATTTTTCTAATAGATGCCACTTTGGGGCTGTGTTAGCCATTTCATGAATCTTCATAATTTTTTTTCAAATTCAGAAAGTAACTGACTTACCATCTTGGGTTCTACGTTTTTTTGTTAATTCTTTTTGTATAGAACCTTTTAATTCATCAACAATCATCATACCTACACAAACAATATAATTAAATGATATGATATGAAATTACTCGATATCTGGCAATAATCATGCGCAGGCAAAACCACTGAGACTATGATTTAGTGAATCCACACAGTTGAGAGATATTGAATGCGCACAGATGGCAGCCATTTATTTTGCTTTATTTTCAACACAGGGCTTCCAAAATATCTGACAATCACATGCCACTGTCAGCCATCAAAGTAAAGGTTGGTTATTGACACTGGGACTTTTGAAGTAAAATTTTGGACAGCTTTGGTTAACTATAGATGCTATAGAAACAGTACAGACACATACCCATTTGAGGAGTTCTGGGCAAAGTAAAAGGTTTAGAAGTTGAATTCCAAGGTGAAGGCACTATCAGGTGGTTTGAGAAATACTGATCAATGGCTTTCTGGGCTCTTTCTTCTAACTCTCTATCTGGTCTGAAGATGGAATATTAACTAAGTACTTAGAAGGTAGAGTTCTACATCGTTCAATTTAATATTGAGAATCAAGAACGAAGATCTATATAAAAATTCAAAGCACTACTTGACACAAATTGAGATCAAAATATCTACGCACAAATTGAGATCTAGGCCAAGTAACAGTCACCCAGCTTGATTTTTGTCTGGAAAGTTGGCACATTATCACATTTTCAGATTCATTCTTGAGTTAGATGAGGTGTGCATTATACTTGCAATTATACGGTATATATTTTGAAAGCATATCAAAATATCAAATGAATAACTAAAACTTACGATATAAATCTCTCCTGATGGTGTGGCATTTCATCTATATCTGCTGGATTTAATGCTGCTATCTGATCTATAGACCATCGAAATGGTTTCTACAATAGTAGGGAAAGATACTAGATGAGATTCTAAAGGACTACAAACTTGTTTTTAGCATACAAGAAGCTGCACAGTTGATGGTTTAAAGATTTTAGAACAGGTAAGCTTAATGTATATATAGTTTCAAAATAATTAAGTTCTAGTTATTTCAAAAGCAAATGGCAAATATCTTGCAAGAAAAAATTACAAAGGGTTGTTGTTGCGGTCCGTGTCTGATTTTTTAGATCAAAAGAATGATCTTGCTGTTAGGAATCCTTAATCCATTGCCTGTTTTTCTCAATGCTCAACAACTTTAGCTTTCATGTGTGATTTTAGACATAAAGTCCAACTTACTGGAGCTCTACCATCTGTAGAAGGAGTTGATAAAACAGTGAAAGTACTGGGACTGAAGGCTGGAAGGTTTAATTTATCAATCATACCATCTTCAAAGGGGTTAATTATATGACCATCAGGTACATTGGAATCACTGGAACACTTTTTCACTGAACCAACATTGTCTTTTGGTGTCCGAGAATGAGGTGGGTTCACTTCTCGCCCTGGAGTTTTAAATAACACAGCGCCAGGACTAGATTGTAATGTTGGTACTGGGGAAGAACTGTGATGCCGAGATTTGGAAGAGTTACACGAAGTATAAATAGAATAAGGACTATCCATGAATTGTTTGTTACAAGGACTAAGATTTGAGCTGTATGATTTTGAAGAATGTTGGCTGCCATTACTACTTGAACTACCAACATTTTTGTCTTTAAGTATAGGAGATAAATCATTAACTAGTGGACTGATAGTAAAAACATTGTCATTGTCATTATCACATAGACCTATTGGGCTAACACAAGGAGAATCAATGTCAGTCATTACGCCATGTTCCACCTCGTTATGCAAGTTGTCACTGATATGTCTATGGAACATTTGTGACCGTAAGGAATTCGAATGATTTTCATGATGTTTATTGTCACTTCCAGGACTCATGGCACCAAATTTTAAAGTCTGTATCACTGTATTTGGTTTGTAGAGTTTAGTAGCCTGATTGGCAGCTGGACATGGACTATCTGATACCTCCATTTTTAGTTTAAATAGTTTTAACACAACAAGTACAACTTCTGTTTAATCAATCATCAACCTGCAAAATTAAAAAATAATTAAATAAGAATTTAAATGGAAGAATGAATGAATGAGAAAATATACCTCCATACCATGCTTGTGTTTAGTCAGTTAAGACATTGTGATTTACACTGTCATTAACCAAGCAAGAGAATTGCATTAAATTACTGTTTATTTTGTTATAATTTAGATCTATTTAGGCCAAAGTATTCAAGAAATTGCAAAAATTATTGAAGTTGAAGTCCATTGCTGATCAAGATGATGAACTTCGTGCATCAGTTGGAACTACTCTAAGGAAGAGAACAAAAGAGTACTCAAAGAAAAACCATTAATTTTTTCAAATAGTCTAGCCTATAAAACTTTTAAACAAGTCTGATTTAATTAACCTGTTTATGAAGCCATTTATTTTCAACCAATCCTTTTAATTCGTGGCTAAACAACGGTTAAGTTTGCCCAGACTTGTTTTGAACTCCCGCTTAACTTCCGGAAGTTAAAGCTGTTATAAAACTTCCGGTAATAGTGAGTTCGTTTCTACTAACCAAACGGAAATATGTCCAGATTTGTTCTCTTTCTTGATAAATCAAAAACATCTATCAATCTAAATAACAATAAAACTATAAACGTAAATTGAATTTTGAAAATAAATACGAAATTGTGTTGATTTTTTATATTTTTATACGTGAAAATCTATACACTTACCCAAACAAATCGAATTGTCAAACAGCAATGTAAACAAACATGTCTGACTCCAACAAACCGCGAATTTCATCTGCCAGAGAAACTATGGACAGTAAGTAAGATTACAATACGGTTTCTATTTTTAAAGAAGAGAAACTTGCAGAACAATGACTTACTACTCTTCTACTATAGATTACCATCACCATAGATCCGTAGTTCTAACGTTTTAGAATGGAAACATTCCGCTTAACTGAATCATTTCATTTTCAAATTCAAAATCATCGAACTCAAAGTTTTATGTCCGACACTGAGTTTTAAAAATTTCATAGGTTTACAACTTACAAGAGAACTCGATTCAATAATGACGTGTTTGTCTAACTTTGAGTGGATCCTTGCTCTACTAGTGGAATTTGACACTTCCTGTCTGACTTCTGTTATGTTAATCAATGACAATTAATTACTGGACTAATTAGTCATAGATCTGTCATAAATTAATTATCTATCAGTGGGCATTATGATTTCGATTTGATTGAACATGAAATCTCATCTCATTGCACCTTGCCCATCTTTATTAGCACACATGGTGCAGAAAAATAGGACGTAAAACTCCATTCATTTCATTTTTTGCTTCTGTGTACCGCAGGTACCGTATTTATAAATTTACTGGCACCACATGTTGCTATGAGTTTAAAAATTCTCAAAAAAAATATGAGTGATAATAGCTTAAATAAGCTCTTCACTTTTGTTCAAATTGCACATGTCAAATATTTGTTTGGAATGACTATAATTTAATGGCATGTAATATGTAACATTTTTTTTCTCTTTCTAGCCTTAATGGAGATGTCTAACTTATTAAACACTGGGTTGGATACAGATACTTTTGCTACCTGTGTGAGATTATGTGAAAGTGGAGTGAATCCAGAAGCTTTAGCTCTAGTTCTAAAAGAATTGAGGAGAGAATCTGCAGCTATCAAGGTAGGCTACCGGTACTATTCTACCTTAAGTCATTTTCACAATGTCAAGCTATTACAAACTCAGTCTTTATTGAGATTATTAGTCACATTTTTGTAAATGCAGTGATTACATTGGATTGTAACAATACAGCCAATCAGAGCTGTCAATTTCTGATAAGGGCTCTGAATGCCTGAATTCCAATCTAAATCACTATATGTAGAAACGTATATGTGATACATGAAAAGTGCCTTATGATGTCAAGAACTTAGACCAATTTTGTAAAACTGAAGTTTCTTTATTAATGAAAGTATGATTTCTAACCTGAATTTCATTTGCCAAGATCTATAGTTCCCTGTATTAATCACTCTAATTTATTCATAGAACGCTAATTTAGCAGTTGGACCATTAGTTATTGAAGGCTGAACTAATTAGATTTTTTTGTTTTTATGTAGAATGATGAAAACACCTCATGATGTTGGAAAATATTGATTTGTATATAGTGTAAATATAGACTGGATGGGAGATATTCTTAATAAGTGAAATATTACATTAGATTGTGATAAATGACAATTCCTCAAAGTGGCTTAACAAAATATATAAGAAATTATCTCACTGGTTACTGAAAATGTTGTTACTGAAATAATTTTAAATTTGACTGCTTTTGACAATTAATTAGCACATGAATTTGCATCATGTTCACCAAACACCACCTGATACTGTGAATGGAGTCAAAATTGATTGATTGCTAACAAAAAGCTGCAGATTGTTCAGTGAAGATAGGATTATCTTAAAGCTTGTTATTTTAAAAGCACCCATGACATTTACTGTAATTGTGTGGAATTGAATTTGTAATCTATACTGATTAAGGAAAATTAAAAATAAAGTGTTGAAATTGAAAATGTGTGAGTTTTTTTAAGTGTTACTTGTTTCCCAGCAGGATTGAGTATGACGGCCATACAAGAATATAGACAGTTCCTTGCCCAGTGGGTATCAGGCAGACAAGTTCGTTTCATCTTTTGCAGAATAGTAAATTTTTTATTGCTCACCTGGCTGCATATTTATTCTGGAAATGATCCAAGCACTAGGATATCCTAGGGTCTTTACTTCTAACACTGTTTCTACATTCTAGTGCTAAGATCATTTCGAGAATAAGTGACCTGGTACAGAAGGTCTTTAATTGCTTCCAGTATGCAGAAAAATTTAAGCCAGTTGAGGAGAAATGTATGTTAATCCAACTCTATGCATTTTTCTGGGGCTTTATTCTCACTTATGTGACTGAGATGCACAAAATAGGGTAAACAGCATATCAAAACAAAATTGTCTTATTTTACATTTTTAATATCAAAAAACAAAACTTAATAATAAACAAACAAACAAAATATGGTTGGATATTTGTCCAATAGAACTACAAAACAATACTGATATAATTATTCATAAAATCAACACCTAAGCATATCCCTCGAAATGAAAATAATAATAGTCCTAAATTTTTATATTCACAATTAAATAAAATCCTCTTGCTGTATTTTTTCCAAATTAACAAATTTTAAATGTTATTATGAATTTGAAATGATAACTTATCAAATTTTGACTAAATTTGACTTTTGATCATAAAAGAAATATATTCTGTAATCAAAACTTGCACTGGGTGCCACATATATAAAACATAAGTAACAAACATTTAGCACAATAATATGGATTTCACAAAATGGATATGTTATGTCTTTGTGAGTCTATTTATGTTCAATGGGAATTGCTTTTGGTCCTTCCAAAGCATTGTCAGCTGGTCCAGAAATAGTCAAAATTCCATCCTTCGATAAAGTTGATTCCACTTTCTCTGGGTTTACTCCTTCTGGTAAGGTGAATTTTCTGGTGAATTCTTGGTAAACTGAGGAATTTTCCGTCTTCTCTTCATGTTTGGCATGGACAGACAATTCTTTTCCTGCGGTTTTAATGTTGATTTCTTCTGGTTTGTAGTTGCTAAGATCCAGTTGTAATTCTAAGGCTTTGGATCCATCGGGTTTGGTGACTATTGGACATCGGAGTCTGTTCATTTGTTGATCCATGTTATTCCAGGCGGCTGCTATAGGATCTCTTGGTGCTAGCCGCATCATGGCGTTTCTCATGTCGTACTGCTGTCTCATAGCTTCACGATTCAAATCCTCGAAAATATCGTCGAAGAAGTGGTCATTAATGGTTGAAAATGGAATCAGCGACATTTTAACAGCTTGAAATCTTCTGAATTCTTCTTATATAACAAAGTAATTCACTTTTCAGTACTTGACAAAGCTTAGTAAATCGGTAGCTTACTCTGTGATGCTGTCACTTCGAACGCTTTTCTAATTCTGCCGCTTAAGTTGGTGCTTGACCTTTTTATACTCGATTGTGTACTCTTCCAGAAATTTCTTGAATGACTGGGTTGTTCACGACTATACTCAGACGCCGGCCTAGTTTCTAGTACTTTCGGGGCGTCACTAGATTGATTTAGTACTATCAAATCATACATTATGTCAAAATATATGTTAGTGTCGGTTTTTAGAGAAAAAAAGTAGAACTTTTTCGAATTATCAAGAACAAATTATTGAAAACTGTAACATAGCGAATTATTTATTTTTTCCTCTAACATCCAGCTATTAAAAATAATCCGAAATATTCTCGTTCTTCTGTTTTCAATACTAAATGCACAATAATTGATTTTCTTGTTCATATTCGAAACAGTTGCTCACAGAATTAAGATTTTGTACATATATTGTGATATCGAGCAAAGGTGAGCCATTGATATTTTTGGCTCGATTCAAGTTACATTGATGTATGGATGGAAGTGAATTTAAAAGGTAAAATATTTGAGGGAAAATTTGCCAAAACAGTAGCATTAGTTTAGACACCCCTAAACTAGCTCATAAATTAGGTGCAACAATTGGTGGTGCAAACCATTTTTCAACAGGACCCCCTGTACCCCACTGTCTCCGGCACTTGAAAACAATCGAGAGTTGTGATAAAATGATTTATTTTGGTATAAATAAAGTAGGTTTAAACTACGTATCTTACACTCTTATAGGTTAAATAGGATTGGGTTAACATTTGTATACAATGCAGTCAAAATTTTAAAGGGATACAGAGCACTTTAATTGTTCGCTTTAACAGAATCATTCATCGTTTGAAATATAACTTAATTCTATTGCTACCAATTGGAAATTTGGACACAGAATGTCTCTCAAACACAGTTTAAACGCATTTTCCCACCCTTTTCAACCCTTAAAGACACCACTTCTAGACAAACCTATCCCTTAGGCTGTATCGGTGCAATACAATATCTGTGTATTACGTAAGATTTTCTGCAATAACTTTCCAAGTGATATGATCATCTGGTTAAACATTAAAATATTATTTACAAATAAATATGTCAAATTTAAAGGTATACGTCCTCTAATTTACCACTAAGAGCGTCCCATTAGCGAAAACTTAGAGGACAGTACCCTTTAATTAAAATGATTAAAATGGTTGAGACTTATTGTTCTAGTCTACATGTGCATTCACACCATCGAGTCCAACTTCAACATCAGCTTTATAAAATACCAGTTGGTCCGAAATTTTTAACATAGCAATCTGGAAAATAAAACAAAAATGGTAATGCCATCTTGTTTTGGTTTTTAAGTCCCAAGTTTCCAATGTAACCCATTTTACTACCATCCATCCTTGGTTCCGATCCTGTAGTAGGCCTACTAATAAACCTCCCTATTGGTGGTATTCCTAGGCCTACCAAGAAAGGAAGGGGAGTGAATCCTTCGATAGAAACGTAATAAATTTATCTATTGCACATAAAAATGTAACTCGTTCAGTAGACATTGAAGGGTTAAATGTTGCATGAAAATGAATAACACTCACTTTTACAATAGAGTTCTCCCTGATATTCAGCCATAGTGGTTGAATCAATGGTTTTATGACACATATTACAGTTGAAACAGGATTTATGCCATGGCTGAAACAAACAGTACATTGAAATAAACGCCACCTTTAATCGAAAGATAATATTTCCCCCTGTCATTTGTGGTATCTATGACGCCTAAAAATTGGCTTTCAGTGTCCCCGATACATTAAACGTTTAGAAAAACTCTTTACAATCCCTTCCGACCCGCTTTTCCTCTATAATGCGAACATCGAGATGATCAAAGCTGCAGTAGCTTCCTTGAAGGAAAGGGACGGATCCTCCAGACAGGCCATTTTGAAGTACGTCATGGCAAACTACAAATTCGACACAGACCAGAAAGCAGCCAACTCCAGTTATGGAAAATGTAACATTGGACGAAGTGCTGCTTACCGTAGCAGATCCAATAGCTCTCTCGGCATCATAAACAGTTCTTTTACAACGGGGACAGTGGGGTCCTGGACCGGAAGTAGTACCACCAGCACCTGTAGCGGCAGTTGGTCGGTTGCTGAAACAATAAATCATTACGTCATAACCATAATCATATATATATTAACATACATTAAAGTAACTTATATAGGCGTCTCAGAGTGTAGGAGAGCATATGTTAAGAAAAGAAAATCCTTGGGAGTAGGGGCCCCAACATATTTAAGTCCACGGACCCCTACACATCTATTTGAGCCATTGTCATCTTCCAGTCATGGCGAACATAAAACTAGTAACTACAAAAGTGATGGTAAGTGCAGAAGGATATTGATAGTATACTACCGTTGCTAAACGGCTGTGACGAATTTTACCATTTGAAGCTCATGAGTATACAGCAACTAAATCATACCTCATTTCAGCTTCTTTGTTACCGAACTGTTCACCAGTGTCCATACTTAAAGCTCCAGCTCCACCTCCAAAGCCATAACCTTTAGGTCCAAACTTCCTGCCGTGACAGTTCTTACAGTATAAATGATTCTGATGTTCAGCAGCATTGGTACTGTCTAACATCTTGTTACAAAGATCTGAAATGGACAAAAGCTTATCTTACACCTGGAAAACGTGGCTGAAAATTGAAATCGGGCAAATCGATGCCGTTGTGTTCTTGATACACACCAAATGTCCAGAAAACTTTTAACAATCCCATATACAGAAGATGGTATGGTATGGGTATATACAGATATTAGATCAATAGATCGAACTTTCGCTAATCAGTCCAGTATCCAATATTCAAGGATTTCAAAACCTTCCACCAAGGATACAAATTGACTCTATATGTGGAAAGCCAGTACCATCTGTATATGGTCATTATCAGACATCACATTAACACCATCGTGCATACTTACCGCATTTAAAGCATCCTTTGTGCCATTTATGTCCACCAGCTAGTCTTTCCTCGGCAGCGTAGACTGATTTACTACATTTAGGGCACTTGGCTTGCACGGGGGCTTTAAAGGGCATGGTGAAAGGTTATTAACTAAAAAATAAAAAGATATACTTTTGATATATAAAAAGAAGGACAAACCATAACGAACTGCGTCTAATACTTTGACACTGTAGACCATACAGCCCCTGGAACTCGCAGCTAGCTACATTGTTGAGTCTTACTGTCGAGGGCTCAGAGTGGCTGTATTTGCTGGCGTACAATCTAATCAATATGCTACATATCAGAAACCCAATTATGTCAAGGTAGAAGCAGTTCTTATACTTTGACATTATGAAGATGGTTTCCTCTATGAAAAAAAACCTCTTTCCTGAACTACCCCACAGGTTTGACATTAATGTTCCAGACATTTTATTTTATATATTTGTTCAAAAAGCAATTTGCACGTGTCTAATGCAGACTATAAGATATATTCAAGATAGACAGTAATATTAATAGAATAAATAAACCATAATAAACAGTTTATATTCTATTCTCCCTTACAGACATATAGTTACAATATGATACAGTGAAAACATCAACTAAATAAATAGTTCTTATGATGAGCGGTGGCTTCATTATTTATATCTTAAGATACACGATAGGAATAGATTTTATATCTTAAGATACACGATATGATCTTTTTATATCTTAAAATACACGAAAGGCACGTGTTATATCTAAGGATACAGAATTGTTTCGTTGCATGAACATTATTTCGACATTTTAAATTTTTTTTTGTGGAGATCCTGTTGTCCTTGGAATAACAGTTGCCCAAAAAAACCTTTTCGCAACGATTTTGCAAGGAAAACAACCTCGGTTCATGAGAGGTTGGAGATCCTTTCTACCAGTTGTTCCATGGCCAAGCCCTTTGGCAATGATTTAACAACTAGGGTATATGAAGATCCCTTTTACCAACTGTTTCTTTAACAAACCTTTTGGTAATGATCGCCTGAGTTGATTTTTTTTTTCTAAGCAATATTTCATTCACATAATATGAGAACGAATGTGGAACATTATATAACCTCTCCTGGGATGATCCGTAACTTACGTTACGCAGTATCATAATTTCACAATATCTTTAATAACCTTTACGTAAAACTCCATTCATTTTATTTTATTTAATAACCTTTAATATGAGTTATAGGTGTATTATTGCTCAATATAATATATCATTTCGACATAGTAATATAGTACAGGAATAGCAGAAGGCGATGAGTCATAATTAGAGAATTTCTTATTTTGAAATAGCTCAGGTTAATCATAGAATCCTGGAATTGGTTGTCTATTTCTTACACCTGGCAGGCTATTTATAGAAACATATCTCGAATGGTTCACAGAAATATATCATGCTGAATTATCTAGATTCCACAAATAGAATGAGTACACAAAAAGTTTTATAGAAGAAAATGGGATCTATTCCTGAAGACTATAGGAATCTATTTTCAAAAGAAGAAGGTTTAAAGGATGAGTTCGGCCGTTTCCGCGACTCGGAATCTTCTTGTGAGTCGATATTGTCAATATCGTTGAGCGGACGTTTCCTTGGCATCTACAACCATCCAACCAATCAATCTATTCCTAGTGAATGGTGTTCGATATCAGTAATATTATCACAGGTATATTCAGTGTAACTCTAAGAGAAAGGTGTGTCATGTCAGCAGGAACTATTCTGTTTCTCATCAATCAACACATAATAGTCTAGAGATCTTTGATCTATTTAAACAACTACTAGTACAGATGTCGGCAGTTCTACATACCACAACTAGATTCATTAAAGTACATTGGAGTATACTGTATAGTTACTATCTATTGTCAGACAGAAACACTACAATATAACCAAGAACCTTCGGCTATTCAATCATGGTACATTCTCGTTTATTATGAAATTTGACTAGCTATCCTGGTCGCGTATTCTTGAAACGATCTCATCGCTAGGATGTCCTAGAAGCAGTGTTAGACCCACGGACATGCTAGCGCTAAGATCGTTCCGAGAATACGCAGCCTGGATTATGCTATCAAATTGCGAAGACCATTTACAGCCAAAACGCACTTAACTTTTACTGTACATACACGAAATTAAAGAAGAAATGTCTAATTAAAAGCTTCAGTTTGACTGGAATTTCAAGGTACAAGGTAATATAATCTAATGAAATGTAATACCAAGATTCATCACATTGATATTCAACATTTAAACAAGAAACATCTGGTCAAACCATAGAATTTTAATCATGTGTAAAGATATAATGGAAAGTGTAAGATAAGAAGAACTCTCTCTGTATGTATGTTCATTATCATATAGGTAATTACATCGTTACTATACTAATTAATAGGCTCATGTACTCGATGTGAGGTCGAGATGCCTTCAGAAAACTTCAATCTTAATAGTTTTTAAGTTCCGGTAATGAGTTTAATACGTTACTAAACTGGAAATATTCTTCTTCACAATGGTTAAGGTATTACGTCTTCAGCTTGTACATTGACTGTAATAGACCACTTTCTTGTTTCATGGTCAGCGATTTGATTGAATTTTACGCCAGCAAATACAACCAATCAGAGTCTTTGATTTCATGCGTAATTAATTTTTACAGTTTTTCTAGGGCTTAGGTTGGCTGTATTCGCTAGCATACAATCAAGTCAAATTGATTCATTCACAAACTTCCGTGAAACAAGAAAGTGGGTCATTTTAGTCAAGGTATAAGATGAGGACGTAATACCTTAACCATTGTGAAGATCAAAACTAAGAGGTTTTGCCACAAACCAGCTCTTAGAGAGGATCCGAAGTGAATCTAAGTTGTTATCCTTGTAAAAGATCAATATCAAGAGGTTTGGTCAAGGACAAGCTGATGGAAAGGATCCGAAGTGAACCTTAGTTGTTATCCTTGTATCTAATGGTTGATTTGCTCTTGTTCAAAGCAAAGTCATAATAAGCTTTAGTCAGTTGGGTACGATGATGTAATAACTGCCTCTTAACATTCTGCTAGCCATCCATCCTTTGTAGCTGACAAATCAATAATATTGATAATAACAAACTTTGGCTGTTTGTTTTGTTGTTCGAATTCCATTACATTGTTTATCGTATAACATGAATAACAATGTTAGTGACTAAGTGCCAAATAACTATTTATACCGTCATCTTATCTGTAATGTTTGTAGTAAGTGCCAACAAATGCTAATTTTATACTGATATTATTGCCTGGGACATTTCAACAACGTAACCTTGTGATGACTAAAGTACATTGCCTTACCTGTTACAATTTCACTTTGATTTCACTAAATACATCAGATAATGATTCTTAGGTCGATTTCCTATCAAGATTTTATTGAACATTGGAAGAAATAGCTGATAATATTAACGGTAATATAACGTTAACATCAATTAGTAAACATATGTCCTATGTGTGGGGCAATTTTTTGTCACTAACACAGAGATTAAATTAGACTGGCCACATAACGTCGCCTTGTTCATACATTAACACCATCCTCTATTAATGATTTAAAGTTCAGATTATCAGATATCAAACCTTTACAACGATTGTTAGCAGAACTTACCACAAACAATAACCAAGAAAGGCCTAATGACGTCACCCTGTCTCAGACCAAGATCAATATCTTCATTTGGGAATTTACCATCACATTACAGTCAAAAACGATTCAGTATTTTTTTCCCCCAATTTCAATATCATATGGAATAAGAGAGTTCATAAAACACCCCCTTGCCTCACACCGTGATCGCTGATTCTTGATGGAAACTTGAATTTTTAAAGGCAATTCCATACATTAGTGTTAACATAGATGGTGCTGTCAATGAAAAGGGGTGGGCTGGTAGCCAGATGTCTTTTTCCGGATAAATACCAATCTAAATCGCAATGAAAAAATCAACAAAATCAAAAAGATATGGACATGAAACAAATCCAATATGACTTGGCAACCAAGATGGTATGTCGGGTCGCTGGGGCTGTCAGTAAAGTTCGAGTCACACCAAAAGTATAAACACAATCTATAAGATGATATACCAAGATGATAAAATTAGAAAGAAAGTTTAGAAAGTGTTAACTATAATGATGATTAAGCTGAAACTATAAATAGACATTCTAGGTACTTCAAACACCAATCTTTGATTGTTTACATCTTCCCAGAGAAACTAATGTATATACATTATATATACCGGTATCTACAGACAGGGTGGTTGAATTCTATCCCTGAACTTTGACATTAAAGAAACTTGTTTGAAGAAAGTAGCTGACCATCCAAATAATTCGTACAATTACTATAGTAATTCAAATGAAGAATAGGACATTATAACACAATTTAATGCGGTATACTTAAAACTTAAAGCTACGTTATACAACAAAGTCGCATTTCGAAAACGATGAAAAGAGAGATAAAATGGAACCCTGTCTTGTATCTCGTATTGTATCTTGTGGGTATATTTCAGCCTGTCAACTAGTTCAGCGAATACATGTATATGTAGAAGATCTATATTTCTGTGTACCATTCTATGTCTCACATCAGTTTAGTTCAAGAAATCAAATGTTAAGACTATCTATACATCAGTTGAAAATATTCTATACTTTGAAACATGCAGTATCATTTCGAGTTTAACTTGAATAGACGAAATCAACACTTCAACCAATGGCAACTAAATAGTTTGTTGTTTACATGTAGACTATATCGTCAAGCCAATTATGGACATGCAGATTGAAACATTTTAATCTTATATACACTATGCATGATTGCGAGATTATCACATTTTTACCCCAAATACAATGAAAATCTTGTCTTACTGGATAATATTCAATGAATAAGACTATTTTACTATAGTTTACGAGACAGAATTTAATTTCCGCATTATCTACAAAACCACTTTGTCGATTAAAATCTTTTCCGGTTTAGCTTACAAGCCATTATCAAAATTCTAAAATATTTATCCGATATCTAAACGTTTCGCACATTATTGTTCTTCGTTTGGAAGAAAACTCCCATTTTACAAAACTTCGGAGAATTTTAAAAAAACGATTTAAACTATTGACAAAAACTGACATAGGTTGCTTTAACTAGAATTTGGAATTCTAAAAAGTTGAAGTTAGTTTAATTCCTACCTTCACAGTTCTAAGGTCCTTAAGGAACTATTCTTAGATTATATTTGGCTTAAATTTTGTGGATCTTTACATAGGTTTTATGATTTACACACGGCCCTACACATTAATAGTCATTTTGCACACGGTTTATTAGGGATTACAAAATCCGCGCCATTCCAATGAGTAATTTCGGCCTGCAGAGAGCATGACGGCATAACATTAGGTTACGCTATTTATTTACATCTCTGGACAATAAACAATTTATATTTGTTTGTGCATTAAGTTGTACATAATCAGATTAACGAAATTAATTAGGATTCAGTAATTAATTTGTAGCAGACAACAATTAGTAGCGCGTGGCCATCACGCTGTAAAAGGAGCTGAAATCCTACACGAGGGCGCGTGCATGACTTCACACCCGTCAGTTCATCAGCTAGTAGAAAATTCTAGTACAAATTTTCATAACCGACTTTAAACCACAACAATTGTGAGGTGGGTGTGGAAGGTACCGGATGTTTTTCATAATTCTGGCATACTACGTACACGTAAATGGCGATTCAGTGTTGTCTGTCTAGTTAGATATGTAGATAGAAATATCAGTTTGACATGTGAATATAGTTCAGGCCAGTCCCTGCAATGGTAATTTTAAGAGGTTGGTGTGTGAGTTAAGGATTCCTCTTTTCGGCATACCACACTACTAAATGACGATTTTGTGTTGCCTAGATTTCAGTACGAATTGTCACTGTTAGTATTTAGATCGATATATTGGAATTACATGTTGACCAATACCTGCAGTAGGAACATAGTTGTGTGATTTTGAATTTGCTGATATGATATTGGGACTATATACCCAGGAATTTTTGTCGCTGGTACCCGTAGACCCAGAGATTAGGAGACCCGGAGACCCGGATTTAAGTTGGTTTATCTCCCTTGATGTTCAGAAAACGACGGTGCAGTTATTAACACGGCTTGTTAAGCAGAAAAAAATTAACCACGTTATAGATTTGAGTTATTTTTTGATTGATTTTTGTTGAAGGATGAAGTTATCTCCTTTGGTTGACGAACAATTTAGAACAAGTTCAGAAATTTGTGAAAGTTGTGTTCAGGTCTTGATAGCCTACAATTACATGGCACCTACATTTACACGACACTAATAGCCTACTGATAAAAAAGATTAGAGTTAGCTGCCTTTTTATTTGGAAAAATACTTTAGCTGGTAATGTTTTATTTACACGAGTTTAAGAGGTAGGACAAGACAAGTACAACACATAGCAGTTGATAATGAGAAATTGATAATAGACACGTAGATGTATTGATGCAGGTTGTAGGTCGCTCGGTAGATTCTAGTTGAGGTTCGTCCTTCTCAAATCCCCATTCGTAATCTCCACAATAACCACCCAGGAGCGGTTCCGTTGGTATACCACGTCTGAAATGTAAGGTGGTTTATAGACGATTCATGAATATGGAGTTCTAAAACAAAAGAATGATACTTGGTTAGGCTATTGCTTTCATGATATTTTTTTATATAGAATAAGTATAATTATAAGGAAGATGGCATGTGTATATACAGTCGGTTACAAAGGAAATAAAATAGGTTTTACGTCCTACTTTTTTGTCAAGAGCTGAGCTTTTGGAAATCGACAAAGCCAATCTTGACAACGACAATGAAATATATATTCTTAGATAGATTCTTATGGTGTACTGGGCGAAGCTACATTGTTATTGTAATTACAGGATGTCTTAAATCACTATCAGCGATGAAGATTTTAGTCTTTATTAGAATTGTAAACTAACCGTAACATTCTACATCTCTGTTGATCCAGTCTAAAATAAGCAGTATCGTTGTCTCGAACTTCAGCTGGACTCCACAATCTCTCGGCAGCTGCTGAAGCACTTGGCCTATTAGAACAGAGAACAAGATGGTCGTTACTTTAAATTGTACATGTAGGGAGTCAATGTCAACAACATTAAATCAATAGAAATATTTTGTATTTCATCCGTTGCTGTCATGACATGCGTCAGATATAAAGATCTTAAGCAAAGCAAAATGACTGAGTATATGGAGGGGTTTCGTTGCCAAAAGTATTCACAGTATACTCACCACATTCGAGTTAATAAATTGGTACCATCAACAAATTCTGCCCACAGACATGTTTGACCTCCCAAAACACGATCCTTTGCTGCTTGTGAACCTAGAAATTTTTAAAATTCTTAGATCATCTTGTGGATGTTCTTGGAGCAGCCAAACCTTGGTAACTTAGACACAGAAAGATTACACATCATATTGCGCTAATGAAGTCTTGCACAGATACGTGTTGTGGAGATACCCTTCATGAGGGGATTTAGCCTCTGACGCCGGATCTCACCTCATGGAATAAACCGAAGCATCTGTCTCTATTCCAGCCTCTAATAACTATTTTTTACAGTTGTTGACTTGAGTAGAGATATGAAAACTAAGCCCTGTTTTATGGTATTTTCAGCACCTAGGTGTGATTTTTTTCCTGTTTATTTACCCCTTGTCCACCAAGCCCGGATATATTCGTAAAGATAGATATTTTGTAGTTCACTTAACCACTATAACCCACATTTACTAGTAGTTGAAACTACAATACATGTAGTTTGTTATATTTACCTGTAAAGTCAAGAGGATCACAAGAGTAAAACTGTCTCCAGGCTGGTGGATATGTTAGATAATTCAGGTACCAACATGATGAGAGTATGGTATAATAACCTTTACTACTCACTGATTCCATATACCTTCTCCAATCACTATATCCACCTTTCCATATTGTTACTATACTGTCATTCCGCACCTGTAAATTAACAGATTCATAGAAAGTAAGCAGAGACACGTCGTGTTAAATAGATTATAATCGATCTAATTTTTTCTGATTCCCAAGCCGATAAAACATTGGGCAACTCTCGACAATTTTGTAAAGCTGAATCTGTCTCGATAATGAATGGAAAGAATCGCTGTTTCTCCTTGGGCGAGATGTTTGACCACCTCAGTACTGATTGGTCGAGACTCTATAATGATATTTGACCACTAGTTTGTCTCTTAATAATATGACCTGAATATGGTCAATAACCATAGTCATTATGGGACACCTCTGACACGTATACCTGTTGATGATGCTACATTTCGACAATCGTTTGCCGGACGGTGGAGACAGGTGGAATTAAGCTTTATCAGTTTGTCGGTAAACATTTTTTTTTTAGATGTTCCTTTAAAACCGGGTCCTCTATGATATTTAAGTGTTGAAATGCAATGGTTTCTGAGTCGGCTAATATAATAAAATTACCTTACCTGAGCTCCATTCTCTACCGGATCTTGCCAGATGATGTACTTTTTATCTAAATCTGATATCATTCCTAGAACACGTTCAGAGTAATACTGTTCTAGTTTAAAATAATCCTTACCAAAACCTTGTTCAGTCATAAACTCTGTAATGTTAGGGTTTGACTCCCTGAAATATTATGGTTATTCATTAAGATTTGGGGTCATTTGGTTTAAGACACGAGTCTGTAGTCTGAAAGCCCTTCAAAATTCACAAATAAACTCGATTCTCAACTATTTGTACCTCGTTACTTGCTGCTATAAGCGAATTGACGAAGCACTAGCACAATTATTACAAATATATGTGGACATAACGTTTATATCGTCACACCGTCGCATGCTGTTTATCATTATACTTTGGGGCTTCTTAGGTAACCCCGTGGTATATAATTCAAGAGTTACTTGTATCCACGGTTGGGACCGTGGTGATGGTATGAGCTGATATTATCCATTTTGATATTATCAAAACAATTTTAACTCCCCGGGAAATGATGACAAAAAGATGTTGTGCTTTTTCGAACAAAAACCGCTTTACAATTCAAAAAGAAGACAAACCAGCAATAGTAATAACCCTCATCCATTCCCATATGTAAATATTCATCTGGAAAGACTTCTGACACCTCCTTAAAGAACTGGCCGAGGAACTCATAGGTAAAGTTCTTTGTTGGATCAAGTATTTCATGTTCAGCATGTTTATTATAAATAGCTACACCAGGTTTACCATTGGCCCAACAGGTTGTTAACAGTTCTGAAATGGACCAGGAGGGTCAATTGCTAAGCCAGATGCCTAAGGTGATATGCACAACGATTGATATTCGCTATACAATGATCATATCCTATTCATAAGTAGACATAAATGATAAAACTTTGAGAAACCAACCTAAAATGATTATTGGCTACACTGTTATGAAAGTGAAGCTTGATCGACAACAAGGTCTTTAAAGTGGCATCAGATGCTTCATGTGGGAAAGCAGGTCATACATACAAATTAACACAACAACTACCTTGATAAGCTATTCCCCAGGAGGCGGTATGGCCAGGAGTATCAAATTCAGGAATCACCCGTATTCCTCTCAATCGAGCGTATTCTATAATATCAGCAACAGCTTCGGGGGTATAAAGGTGCAATTTGGAATATGCTCCCTGAACATACAAACAAATCATTAAACAAATAATCAAAGACTTCTGAAACAACTTCTCAGTTTGAACAAATCTATGGGAACAATCAAACACAATAGCCCGTCAAGATCTGTTTGTATACGGGTGCTTCTTATAGAAATTTAAAAAGTAACGGCAAACATACGCTTGTGCGTTTCAGTGCTCTTCTGACATGGCTAATCTGCTTCGTGTGGTATGAACTGCTCTTTAGTCTGTTGCAAGTTCTCCGATGTTTGTGGGTACTTTTATTAGATATTTTAGAACAGTAGCTTAACTTTACCTTCTCGGATAGTTTAGGAAATGTTTTACTAACAAAAGGAAACGACTGATCATCAACTATATGCCAATGGAATACATTTAGTTTGTTATAACTCATAGCATCCTGTAAGAAACCAAATTTACTAAGGAGCTTGACATTGTTCTATGCACTTATTTCTAGGCAGTAGCATATCATTTACTTTGTGGTGTTTCCATGAATTATATGTCAAGGATGGTGGCGGGCAAAGTTGGATCAGCCTCGTCCCTGGGGAATGGGAGCCTGATCCCCCAGAAGAAACGTCACTGTATTCTGTATGTGCTCTTAGTTTAGTAATTCAAAGAAAGATGTGGTCAACACATTGATTAGATGCATTTTCATGGGATTGCATGTTTGTTTAAGAGACCCTCAGACCATAGCGATTACCAGTTGCAAATAATGAACGCAACCCACAACTCAGCTGCATGAGAGTTGCCTTCGGAACTTATGACCGCTATTCGCAACCATGCCCAACTGATGATCGCTATAGTTTGAGAGTACATTAAGATATAGTGAAACATTTCCAATATTGCAAATAATAGGGAAATTTATATCACAAAGAGAGTTATCTCACCAAATTCTGTTTAAGTACAGGTATTGGTATATAATGTCGAGCTGTATCAAGATGTGAACCACGGTACGGAAACCTCGGGACATCAGTTATACTGGTTTTATTGATCAGTAGTTCACCTTGATTATCATACACCAACTGACTGAACGTTTCTAGACCTGTAATACAGGTTAAAATGTTCTTTTGGTCGCAGAATTGGCTAACTCAAGGTGTTCAGAACTGGCTTTCCTTTTAAGCTGGCTTATTTGGTGACGAATGTCTATAGTATTGTAGCAACAGAGAGCGTCAAGATAAGGTCAAGACTTCCTGCTTGTTGAACATCATGATTTCCTTGGATCATAAACAGACGAGTTTCGGGGGAGCATTTTCTTAATTTAATGGGTATACATTGACAGATTGCGTCGAACCCTTGTAATTTATATGATTTAATTGTCTAACGTTGATCATGCATACATAGGAGAAAGTTAACAGTGTACCTCTGAGAAATCCCCAAACTTCAGTGGCTGTTAAAGTTGCTGTATTGTTGATAACCAAGCTATCTGTAACGAAACACCTTACAATTTCATGTGGAATACTTTGTCAATAGAAGTCGCTTTATCTTGTCTTGTCCTGAAGGCAGTGTAAGTGCGGTATAAAACTGTGGCTATCAGAGGTTACACCAATAGAACAGCGCAATGTTATCATCTGCACAATGATCATTTTTATTTAAATACTTTGTACATATTTTCAACTTTTGAATTAGAGGAGCTACTTATTCTTATTCTAGAGATGACACCGTGGAAATTCGGGGTTCTACCCTAATATTTAAGCAATGGACTGTTTGAGGTTATAATCCAAAGTTGTTGGGAATAAAATAATTTGAATGCAATCTATACCAAATGAAGAGCTAGCCAGATCAACAAACTTACAAGATTCGTCCATGGATAGGCTTGGATATTTTCCACAAGTTTTACTGGATATTACCACTTCTAACCCTGGTAATGTTGGTTTATCTTCTGCCACCCACAATCCTTTATAACCAAATATAAGGGAGTGATATCGTTCAAACGCTTTGGTTATAATATCACAGTCTGTGTCGGAAGTAAATTGGAACTTTATAGGATCAATGGTCAGAAGGTCTGGACTCTGTTGCCATTGTTTTGGTTGGGGCCATGGTGAACCAGGCGGTGGTCTTTCTCCCTAAAAAAATATAATTTTGTCAAGTAATTTCAGTTCAGATAAAAAAAAAATATATCATCTCATCAACGAAAAGGTAACAAAACTGCGTATCAGAAATCTTGATGTTATAGAAGATGATTGATAATTATCAACATTTTGATTTCAAATCTCTGGTTCTACAATGACTTTTGTTGCAAAAAAGACCCCAAGGTTTCGTGACATGGACCCTTAAACTTCTAGATTTTATGAGTTAAGTCCCTTGATGTTACCAAAGTTCAATTCATTTGACAGGGGCCCAATACATATTCAGTTTGCTCAATTTAAATATTTTAAAGGTATATTGTATATCTTTCCTGTAACGGTAATCTTATGGCTAGATAATTGATGTAACCATGACAACCAACTATCACCAGGAAGATAGGTACCAGACAGCTGTGACACTGGAAATAATCAGAATGAAAGCATTGACCAAAAGATGACGAGAACATAACCTTATTGGATCAAGAATTATATCAAAGATATTCTGCAGTCGTGATACATCATGTTACAGTGGTATAGGAAGTCGGTATCGAATTGGATTGTCGTATGCGAGACGATTATTTACCGTGGGTACTCTGATGTCATATGTCGGATTTCAATCCCTTTCACCAAGATAATTGTAAATTGTCCATCGTAATTTTGACTTAAAGCAAATCATATTACACAATTAGATAAATCACTGTTTCAAACTTTTCGAATCGATTCCCGATTGATAACGACGAAGAAAACATGAAAAATATGTAAAATTCCATTTTTTTCCTACCTTATTCATTGTGACGATGGCACTCAAGAATAATTCCTATACTGTAACTTAGTACTTAGATATAGATTATATTCTTATCGTTTTGACAGTTAGTAACGTATGACTATTTATTCTGGGGTAAAACAACTAAATTACATTATCTGTTTCTCATATATCATACATTAAAGAGGCATGTCCATGCTGTAATCTAATAATCATTCATTAAAGAAGCAATTTGACCAATTGTAGAAATGTGTTCCCTAGTTGAAATTATATGGTATATTAAAAAGCATGTTCGAGTGAAAATGACACTTAAGAGGAATATCCATGAGGAAATTGCATGTATTTTACATCAAAGAGGCGCACCCTGGCTGAAATTTGTACATAAATGTCGTACATAAAAGAAAGTAGAAAGTAGAATACGAGCTTGATAAGATGGCACCATAAAAACTTAAAAGCTTTTGAAAACGTGGAAGTTCAAAAAGAAAGTTCTGTTAGAGTTGAGAAGAGCTAATACCTTAAATGGTTCCATTATTCCATTTCCATTGTTATATTATTGTCCTTATACAAAATACAGAGCTATATTTCAAGGCTTGGTTACTTCCTCAATTTGCATTCTAGGTTATCATGCATATCTGCAATCTGAAAGAGATGGTAAATTGTGAGTGGTGTGTACTTTATATACTGGTACCTTTGTTTTTTATTACATTTTCATAATGTAGATCAATCACATTGTAAAGAGTTTAGATATAGAATAAAATGATAAATGGGTGGGCGTTCCAATAGAATGAGTTTGAGTAATATATTTCAAAATTTGATCAAGGATTTTTGGGAATCTACAAACGACCAAATCCTCCCAGCGGAGACTGTAGATAGGTTCCGTGTTCCTGAATCAGTGCACTAAAGGCTGGAATTGGACTCAATAGCAGTGGTACCAGCCTTCTGAAACTGGGTACAAGAGCACATACACAAGCCTCTCTTGTAGCGTTTCAGAGGGTTTCTCCCCCAAGAAAAGTTTGAACAATCGAATTGATTAGATGCATTATGACACATATTTTTGGACACAAACATAATTATAAAAACTATATTCTAGATTTGTTAGAAATCAACTGGGGGTAAGCTGGTGGGTGACATACCCCTATACCACCACTGGCGCCACCACTGCTCAAAATTCTACATATATGTAAGACTAATGAGATTTAATTTTTAATTCCTTTTTTTAGTAGCATTGACAACAGACCCGAACATAACTTATTTTTCATAGGGCTTGTTTATTCATTGTGACCCAGTGCTAGATAACTCGAGTACTGAGAGATAAAGTAAAATAGGTCAAACCGTATCAAGATAATGTAATATTACTACAACACCCTCTAACTATGCCGGTGAAACAAGGATTTCAACTGCCATCAGGAGACATATTTCCCAGTGTAGGATTTGGTACCTGGACGGTGTGGTCGGTAAGTACTGGTCATTGAAAATAGCCATGCTTGTTATTGATTTAGATACATACTACGAGAATGAAGAGTAATACACGTGAATACGACGACACTAGTGTCCCAGTGCTGGCTGTATTAGTTATAACTATATGAAACTAGTTTTAGTAACTTTTTGAAAGGTCTAAGATTTTTAAGCTCAATCTTATATGTCTTCAAATTGTGTTTGAATTTAAGTCTAAATCTATTTTGCTAAAACTGGTTAGGATAGCAATATAATTTATAAGTTATGGGATTTATGACGTCATTAATGGAGAAAAAATGTTTTTACAAGAACCCTTGGAACTAGTCACGTCTTAAACTCAGTGACTTCCGCTTTCAAGAAGAAGAGTGACGAGTCGGCGTTACTATTATTGCAAAACTTTTATTAAATAAAGGCAAGACGTAAAACTCCCTTTCATTACAGGCTGAGAAAGGAGTTATACATAAAGCAGTAAAAGAAGCTATAACTGTAGGATATAGACATATTGACTGTGCCTATGTTTATCAAAATCAAGATGAAGTAGGACAAGCTATTAAAGATAAGATAGAAGATGGTACAGTGAAAAGAGAAGATCTATTTATTGTCACAAAGGTAAAGAGGAGTTTATGTTACAAATATGGCAATCTGAATCATTTTCACTTAGGGCAGAGGGATATAGAGAGCTTTAGACCTCCAATCAATACGACCTCTTCGGAAAATGTCCCAAACAACAATAACATCAAACGGTCTACCGAGGAAGTCAATGTTCCCATATTGCTCTGTAACACAGAATCTGTCGAGAATTCCTTAATGAGACAACATTATAGTCGTATTTACCGACCAAAAGCAATGCTTAACATAGTCCTCAATGAACAAGTGCTGATCCCAGCAAAGGCTGCAATGTATTATTCAGACCCAAAACGACCAAGGTCTCTCTGGTAATGTAGAGGTTTTGCAGTGTTTCCGGGTGCAGCTCAGCCACACAGTCAGCAATCCTTAAGTAGCAAGGAATACCCAAATTATTATACCCAACGACGAAGACGCCACAAAAAAATATAATACATGTTATATGTGTGCTTTATTCTTAGGTGTGGAATACAGCACATCGACGTGGTGCCGTTAAAGAACAACTACAGAAATCACTGAAACAGTTAGAGTTAACTTATGTTGATCTTTACCTCGTTCATTATCCAATATCATTCAAGGTATGGTTTGGTTTAAGCATTTTACTATCGGAAGAAAAAAGGTGATAACTGTGACGTCAGTCATAGAGCACATTCGCTCTCTGTCTCTCGAGCAAGATCTTAGGTCCTTTTTGACATGATGAATAACTGTAACATCTCCGTGTGACGATGTTTATTATAGTTTTTTTTATTTTCTTAGGAAGGAGAAGATAATTTCCCTAAAGACAATGAAGGCAATTTGATATTTGAGAATCATGACATCGTTGATACGTGGAAGGTAAGACTTCATCATCATCACATCATCATCATAATTATACATGACCTGTATTCGGAGAATGAAGTATAAATCATTTTCAGCATAATCATCATCATCAACAACAGTAGCAATAGCAGCAGAATCAACATCAAAATCAATATGCATCTTCCTGCGCATAATGTATAATCCATCATCTCCACAAGCATCATCATCATCATCATCATCATCATCATCATCATTATCATCATCATCATCATCATCATCATCATCATCTCACACACAGCTTCACAGTCAACATCAATAAGCATTATCCTCGCCATTAATATAATGAATAATCCACAATAATTATCATTATTACCATCATCATCATCATCATCATCATCATCATTATTATTATCATCATCTCACACACAGCTTCACAGTCAACATCAATAAGCTTTAACCTTGCCATTAATATAATGTATAATCCACAATCATTATCATTATTATCATCATCAACATCATCATCATCATTATTATCATCATCTCACACACAGCTTCACAGTCAACATCAATAACCACAGCCTCAGCATTAATATAATGAATAATCAATCAGCAGCCATGCGAATCTTTGAAACAGACCTGTTATATAATATAGGGTATGGAAGATTGTGTTGACAGTGATTTAGCAAGGAATATCGGACTCTCCAACTTTAACCACCTACAAATTGGAAGAATTATAGATGCTGCTAGAATACAACCGAGTGTTATACAGGTATGTTTGGCCAGTCCGTTTCAAATAAAAGCTACCATGTAAAAAAGAAAGAAAGAATAAAAACGTTTTGAACATAAAGGCCAACTTCACGATGATCGTGTCTTCCAGCTGCTCTTTGGCCTCGACATCTCGGCATTGATCCTTCTCGGAGTACCCATTTGCAGCTGGGTTGACCAATGATGAAGGGTGACTTAATCAAGGATACCAGACACCACACCTACCGAAATTAGAACCCAGCGATATGTGAGAAAAGAATTGAATTTGATTTATTTATTTCAGCTGGAAGTGAATCCAATATTTTCTAATGCTAAATTAGTAGATTTCTGTCAGAAGAGGAATATTATAGTAACAGCGTACGCTCCTCTTGGTAACCCTAATAGACCTTGGTAAGATTTTAATTTATGTATAATGTAGAATGCTCCAATTCCATAAGAACTGATGCTCTCGATTTTCTTTCGTTGAACAACTGTGGGTCTCGGTAGTTTCCGTAAAGCTAAATCTTCTAATGTTGTATAGTGCAAGCTGACTATTCACGTGGTGCATTTGGGATTATTTTTTCATTCTGGTAAAACGATTCGGGATCTAACAATCATACCATGCTCTTTCCAGAACGATATATGGCTCTGGCTCTTACCATAAAAGAGGCGTAGGTATCCCATTAGGATGATATGTGGTAACGACCAAATTGCACCTCAGTCTAAGTTTCAATGAAAGGGTACGATGATTGGTATAACATTGTTTTTTACAAATTGTTTCAGGAAAGACAATAATGATCCAACTGTTTTAGACATTCCCGTTTTAAAAGAAATTGCAGCATCAAAGGGTAAATCTGTTCCTCAGGTAGGCCTGGTTTGGTATCACATTTATTGAGAATTCCTCTCTCCTTTTACAATGACCACCCTTTTTTAAACAACAAATGGTGGTTAATTTAAAAAGTGGTTTGTCTTAAGGTTACACAGACAGATCTATCTTACTGTTGTTATAAAAACCACAAAATGACCATGAACATATTCAATAGACTTGAGCAACTAATTCCACCCTTTGACTATGTGTCCCACATCAGCGTAACTCTAGAGATTCTATGTAATTTAAAGTATATTGCACCAATGTTTCCAGGTGGTGTTAAGATTTCTTCTACAACGTGATATGGTTATTATTCCAAAAAGTGCCCATGCTGACAGAATCAAAGAGAATTTTCAGGTGAAAATTTAATGAAATACCATCAAAACCTATCGGGGATTTTAGAATAATATAGGTCAAGGAGGGATTTTTGTGAAACGTGCACCTGTTTTGAATGAAAATTAATTCCATATCTAATCCAGCACGGTATAGAAACCGTATAATAGGACACGATGTTGAGCACTGATAGTCGATATTCAAATTAATGCAGCTAAATTATCGGAAGAAAGCCTCGAACGTTTATTTATCCCCGGTATTTATTATGTCTTCAATGACCAAAAAATTTGGCTCATCAGCCTTATCTTGTAGGCCATACTCGCTTCTCTTCTTGGTTGATATTAGGAAATAAGTAAGACATATTTGTAAAACTGATATTCTGTAATTTCTGTGGTTATTGTAAATTATAATTTATTTCCAGTTATTTGATTTTGAGCTGAACGGGGATGAAATGAAGAAAATCGGGTCTCTTGATAAAAATTTCAGAGCTTATTCTGAACCAATGTAAGTTATCGATAGTATCGATTTCGTTCAATTTGATTAAAATGAAGAGGTCGATAACTTGATTTCGTATTGATGACACTTAGTCAGCATGGAAAAATTAATCTGCTATGACAGGTTCTTGTATTGGTTCATATTTACAAACCAAACCATGAAAAAGGCTTCATGCAAGCTTATTAATTGGTCAGTTTTAAATCACATAACTTCATGAATCTTTATTATCTCGACCCCTAATACGATGTTTACTTACAATAGTGAAACACGGTAGAAGTATGTAATAATCAGATCTGAAGTATTGATCTATTGCCAATTGACTTCTATAAAATTAAACTCATTACCTCAATCTCCTAATAATTTGTTTGTTCTTTTCAGAGCTGTAAAACATCCTGAATATCCTTTTCATATTGAATACTGAACATATTTCAACATCTCAATAAACTTCCTATTGTCGCTCAAAGTCGTTTTCATTGATTGGAAGCAATTTGGGGGGAGGGAGGGGTTCGCGTAGAACAGTGGTTTAGAAGTTATTGTAAAGAACTCCCATCAATCACAAAACCATTCCACTGTTACACAGTCCCAAATTTCAAAGTTATTATAGTAATAAGATTATTTTATTGGAAAAACAATTTGGAGGGAGGGGATAAATAAAGGGGTTTGGGGTTGAAATGTGAGGGGCAAATATGATGACAGTTTTCTGAGCATGATAATAATTCTTTGAACCATCGGGTTTGGATAACACTGGTGGTCAAAACTGAACTGTATGAGATAAAACGGATTTCGAAGCTAAGTTAAAAAACAAAAAACTTTAATACGGAATGTGGCATAACACCCCGGATCCCTGGACAGCCCTTCAACACGATATTTCTTTAGCTTTTATTCATTCATGTGACCTACTTATATATAAATATAGAACAGGGGCATATAGAAAGTAGGTCAAGCGTATCGTGACATGCAATAAGTGCTAGTAGTAATATAACCATGCCGGTGAGAAAAGGATTCAAACTGCCGTCAGGAGATATATTTCCCAGTGTTGGATTTGGTACCTGGACGGTGTGGTCGGTAAGTCAGCTGTCCATTGGATTCTAAAAATAATTGGTAAAAATGATATAAGAATTTATTACCGTAAATAAATATAAAAGACCGGGCATGAATAGAGTCTTACTAAAAAAAAAAATGTATGTACGTATTATGTAAAATATAATATCTGAAAATAGCCGTTGGGCTATATCATTGTTTCCGATATACGTTTTACGAATTCAAAGGATACGGCTCAAGATATGTATTCCATTACAGGCTGAGAAAGGAGTTATACATAAAGCAGTAAAAGAAGCTATAACTGTAGGATATAGACATATTGACTGTGCCTATGTTTATCAAAATCAAGATGAAGTAGGACAAGCTATTAAAGATAAGATAGAAGATGGTACAGTGAAAAGAGAAGATCTATTTATTGTCACAAAGGTAAGGATTACAACAGAATCGTCAATAATATTCAAGAATCACACACAATGCCAACAGTTGTTTTTGACTATCTATACAAAGGTAGTCTGAAGTACTCTTTTGATAGTCTATACAGTTATCAGCTTAGTTGTGGGCAGTGGCTCATAGAAGTCCATTGTAGCCCTTGGTGGTGGGCAGCGGCCATGAGTCAATAATAGTTCACAGTAGCTCTTAGTAAAATAATGACGGACAAATTTTTGATTCTTAGGTGTGGAATACAGCACATCGACGTGGTGCCGTTAAAGAACAACTACAGAAATCACTGAAACAGTTAGAGTTAACTTATGTTGATCTTTACCTCGTTCATTATCCAATATCATTCAAGGTATGGTTTGGTTTTAGCATTTCTTCCTATCATGGTATCGTTTATTATATTGATTCCATACTAAAAAATAGACTCTCTGTAGATAGATACATTGCTATACACTTATCATGGAATTTTGATTTTGTTGAATCATGGACCCACTCAAAGCACAATTTTCTCATTTAAGAATTTCTCTGATTGTCCACTTCTTGACAATGGCCGTTAGCAAATTATAAGCAGAAAAAAATCTCTGATTCATTGTTTTTTTTGTACAGGAAGGTGATGATATTTTCCCTAAAGACGATGATGGCAATCTGATATTTGAGCACTATGACATCGTTGATACTTGGAAGGTAAAACCTCATCATCGTCATCATCATCATTATGATCCTCAACAGCATCATCATCATCATCATCATTATGATCCGCAACAGCAACCTCATCATTATGATCCGCAACAGCATCATCATCATCAGTATGGTCCTCAACAGCATCATCATCATCATCATCATTATGATCCGCAACAGCAACCTCATCATTATGATCCTCAACAGCATCATCATCATCAGTATGGTCCTCAACAGCATCATCATCATCATTATGATCATCAAGATCATCATCATCATCATCATCATCATCATCATCATTATGATCCTCAACAGCATCATCATCATTATCCTCCCCCTCCTCCTCCTCATCATCGTCCTAATCCATAACTGTAGAGTTATATAATATCCTTTTATATAATATAGGGTATGGAAGATTGTGTTGACAGTGATTTAGCCAGGAATATCGGAATATCCAACTTTAACCACCTACAAATCGGTAGAATTATAGACGCTGCTAGGATACAACCTTGTGTTATACAGGTAAAGCTAATATCAACTTGTAAAGCTACCGTGTCATTTTAAAAGTCCCGAGAGTTGCTAAAACCTTGACTAATCAAATTTTATTGACGATGAAAATTGTAAACGTACGAAGTTTAAAAGTTTTCTTCGTGATAGCATTTTATTGAGAGTTGCTTATACCTTCTGTTTACAAAGTCAAGACAGTATACATGTACATGTTGCTATGTCTATTGTATTTCAGCTAGAAGTCAATCCGACGATTGCCAATACTAAATTAGTAGATTTCTGTAAGCAGAAAAATATTGTGGTAACAGCGTACGCTCCCCTTGGTAACCCCAACAGATCATGGTAAATCAAGTAATAAGTTGGATGCTCACTTATCACAGGTCTTGTCGTTCGGAGCCGAGTTCAGGTGTACTAGAATATCTCGCGATAGTAAGTTATCAAAAGTAGAAAGGAATTGTCGCTGTCCTTGCACAATGTCCCTCATCGCACAATATATAGTAGATTCCATTCAAGATATCTAAAAAGTGTCTTGAATATACCACGTATCTGATATCAATAGTTTTGTTGGTTTCCAGGAAAGAAAGCAAAGATCCAACTATTCTAGCTGACCCGGTTTTAAACGAAATCGCTTTATCTAAGGGAAAGTCTGTGGCACAGGTAATTGCTGTTTAAATATCACGTCTATTCTAGGGACTGACAATGATATGAGCAAAGATAACGTATTCATGGTTAACACAGACTTTTATACGCCGGCCGGAATTAGAACCCACGACTATCATTTGTTGGAGATTATGCTCAACAACGACTGTGCTTCAGAACCACTCAAACTGTGTTTACATTGTCGTCTGTCTGTACACTGTTGGGTTATATTTCCAGGTGGTGTTAAGATTTCTTCTACAACGTGATCTGGTTGTTATTCCAAAAAGTGCCAATGCTGACAGAATCAAAGAGAATTTTCAGGTAAGGAGACAGAACTGAGAACAACGAGGGAAATACGTCGAAACGTTGTATAAAACTTTAACCGGTAATTTTTGTTCTGAAAAGCTGTGTCTATGTATAATAACAATCAATCATGTTTTGACCATTATCTTCATTCAGGCTCGCCAACCATCTCTCAAGGGAGATAACTTTTAATATCTTAATACCATGATATGATATGACACTACATCACACATTACGTCAGTTAGTAAATTTCATTTTGAGATCATTTACCTATTTCAAAACGGTATAGTTCTGTTTATTTAGACCCATACTACGGTTGTTTAAGGAAAAGGGGTTTATTTCGCTGATCTTATCATAGTTATCCTGCACAGCCTCTTTATTTAGTAGGCCTAGCTTATCACTTTCTCTATTCCAGTTATTTAATTTTGAGCTGAACGAGGCCGAGATGAAGAAAATATGGTCACTTGATAAAAATTTCAGAGTTTATACAAAACCAATGTAAGTATTCTAAGATTCAATAGATAAAAGGGTTGTCGGTGTTTATTTTTTTGAAATAATAATTGATTTGTTTGTATTTCTAGAGCTGTGGATCATCCTGAATACCCATTCCATATTGAATACTGAAGGCTAAGACTAGTAGCTAGAGAATATCACATCACTATCAAATACAACCTGTATCTTTTAAGATCTATATTATGTTAATATATTAATATATATGAGTAAATTAGTGTGTATTTTATGTCCATGAGGGGAGTTGTCGGGGAAAGAGTTTGGTAGTTTCAACAATGAAAAACCTTTAACTTTGAGGTTTATCAATTCCTAATCATTTCCTATGACATATGTCAAACTGGTCCATGTGTTAAGATGCTAGAGGAAAAGAGATTCGAATACTGTTAAACCAAAATCCCCAGAGACGTTTGACCAAGGGTTATAATATATTTAATCAATAGAACAAATTCTATTTCAATTTCATTTCTTTTTTGTATTCAAAATACATTACACATATTACAAATACATATATTTACATGTTTATAATTATTATTCTTGTATCTATAGAAAGAGTTGTCCTAACACTGCTGATTCTAGTATAGTCTATGACAACTAGCATCACCTTAAGGTAATAGTCAGCAAGTTTTAGACAAATCTTTTGTAGATTAAACACATACACATAGATCAGAATATATCAAAATCTCTCCAGACCTAATATGCTAGAATTTCTCCTTCAGAATAAATTATTGTAATTTTTTAAATAACCCATCGTTTCATTGCATTAATTAAATTGTTAGTTAATTATCTTAAAGATTTATAGACCATCTTTGCACCATTTCTTTGTGAATCTAGTTGTATAGGGAATGTTTAAGCTTTTTAAATAAATATCTTGTGATTTAATAAGCTGTCATCCCTTACATAAAGACTTTACATAGCAAACAAAATTAATTTGCTAGATTTAATATTATGAAATGTCCCTACAACAGACACTACGAAGACAGACATACAATTATATTGTACTACAAACACGACCTGACTAATAATAATTATAGAAAAATCTACATGATACATGAATCTATATACATAATGATATTTACAATTAAAATCTCATTACTGATTAGAGTAAACAATCATATGATATCAAAATAATCACATGAAGTTTTATGTCCTACTAGTTTCAAAATGATTGATCTAATGGAGATGAAGAAAACATGATTTGTGAATTCAAAGTGTCGCAAGTGAGAAAGGTTGCTCAATCTTTCAAAACACCAGATGACATTCTGCACTTCGAGAGATTCCACATGGCTTGATTGTATATATATTCAGTTGTTCACTACTAGAATTCATATTGTTATCCTACCAATTTGAATTCAGTTTTTTGTGGAGGAGTCCTATTTTGATAGATGATAATGGTAAAAAGATGATGAAATTATGTCTGTAAAATATGATCTTGAAATGACAACTTATTGAAATGACACAGCATGAAACAGGCTTTCACTTGAGTAAAGCTTTTTGTATTTTCACATGTTTGTTGTTTGACAGATAAGAGTTCTCTTATTGTACACAATACTAATGTCCACACCACCACAGACAATTATCCTGTTCCTATATTAATTACAAATCTACTGCATGTACATCTGAATTAATCAAAGTTTTCAAAAAGACACATTTTGAGTGTGAAATTATTCGAAAATAGGCCAATTAACTGCAGTTTTAGATACATTATCCATATTCTCTATAAATATCAGTAATAAATATAGACTTAAAATGAAAGTAGGATGACTTTTCACAACACGAATAATGACACAGTTAGATTCTACACACGTAATATTTCCATGTTATTATTATAACAGATAGAGATCCAGTCTGGTTGGGTAGAGGACCATTGTATCTGGTTGATTTCACCAGCTGCTGTGTAAGCTAATATAGGATCTTCTATAGCTCGTGGCATCTGTTGTATATCCCAGATCAATGCTTGGTGATCATCAGCTGAAAGAGAAACAAGGAAGGTAGAATTATGGACACTTGATCCTGTGATATTGAGTTGTCAGATTGTAATGAAATAAAAAACAATGCTTGTGGCACAGGTTCATTACAGAACTTTGGACATTTTTAAATTGGATTGTCAGCTTGTCATTTGAAAATAAAGATATCAAATGAATAATACTAGCTTCATGGACTCTCTGAAAGGGATGCATAGCTAACAAACTTGTTCCTAAATCAATCAGGATCAAACTGCTGTTGTCTTAGTAGGATGCAACAAGGTATATTTCTACCCTATGCCAAACTACTCTACTCTTAATACAACCTAGCCTACCCTAGTACAACTTACCTGCAGTACAGATATGACAAGATGAATGAGGAGCCCAGGTGATAGCGTTAATACAGGCTCTATGATTGTTTAATCTGGCTACTGGTGTACATGGTACTCTAACATCTAATATTATACACTGAAATTATATATTAAACCATCTTTACTAATTACAGTCAAAAAATGAAACGGAATGAATTTTACGTCCTTCTATACTGCACCTGATTGGGCTATTGAAGATGAGCAAAGCCATGCTGTGTGCAATGAAGGAAATTTTGCCAGGACAGTGGCATTAACCTACTTTTTTTTAGATATCCAACTGTTGAGGAAGCTCATTGGGCCTGTGTTTCTTATCCCATTTGAAGGACTAAATGCTTTTTCAATGTCAGCCCCTCCGACCTGCATCACTGACAGTACATTCACTTCGTAATATTGGAAAGTGAAAATGTCGTCCTGATGATTATTTTATATCCCAAACATGTCAGCATCATGAGATAAACTGTTGTCAATGTGAGATAATACTTTTTTTTTTTGTAGTAAATTACAAAAATGTAACAAACCTCTTGTGCCTCCATAGCCATTGTACAGAGATAGTTAGGGTCTTGTTTATTCCATGCTAGGCGAAGGAGTGGGATATGTTGGGGATCCTCATAGATTATAGTAGAATGTTCTAAATGCCTTAAATCAAACATTCTTACTGATCCATCGGCACCTAAAACATCAAAAGATTTATTATACACTTTATGGAACAATAGCAATTGTAAGACAGTGGCTTTTTTATGGAGCATAAAGTCAAAGGGCTGAGCAGGAACCACACAATTTTTACGAAAGGCTCACAGGCTTTTTGTTCCTTCACCTAACATCAGGAAAAGGTTCAAGGTGAATTTTGTCCACATGAAAAGTTGCCCATGGCAACTGTCACAAGAAGTACAAGCCAAGTATCTTACTGGGTAACTTACCAACACTAGCAAACATATCACGTCCACCACCAGCTCGACTAAAAGCAATATCATAAACTTCTTTATCATGGGCTATTAACTGTGTTTTAACATGACCAGACACCATATTGACTCGGGGGTCCATATTGACACGCCCTATAACTTGTCCTGTCTACAATATAACATTAGATATCACATAGAGTAAAGCTAAGTTAGTGCACTCAAGTTTGTTCAAGGGCTTGTAGAAAGATAACATGTGATCTAGTTAAATAACTTTCTATAAATGTTGAAATATCCTTTCTAAAACCATAATCCACAATTTAAATATGACATTTCCATTGAATAACTCAATATCTATCCACCAGGTTACAACAGTATATGTACAAGCATGTGAAACATTGAGTTGAAAGCTTGAAAGGGTATATCTAGTGCTTCAATATGACAATTTCAAATTTTATATAGAGTCAACTCTAACTTACCTCCAAACCCCAGATAGTACAAGTTGTATCTATACTTGAGGTACCTAATAAATTAGGGTCCACTTCATTCCAATCAAATGATGTCAGTGGGGCACAAAAATCAGAATTTTTATTCTGAAATAAACAAACAACAACATACAATGATAAAGTTACAATTTTGAAAATTGATATTACTTTCAGTATTTCATATACATCATTGCAGATTACCCATTGTATTGTTTTATACGTATTTCTACTGACTTTCCAATTTCAGATGGCTACTTTACTATTATGATTATAGAAAACTGCCCCCAAAAAACAATATAACCTAATGCTTCAAAAATCTGACACGACAGGCAAATTAACTACCCTATCAAGATGTAACTTACATTATTGAGAAGACATTCTAGTCTAGTACCAGGTGAATCTGTTTCTCCCACTCGCCATACTCTGAGATAATCTCCACTAGTAGCTAATAAATCAGGAAATACACCTTTCTATAACATAATATAATTAATTTTTACTGGTAAACATTAATACAAGATTTATATAACCTTCTTTTTACCGAAGGATATTGGCAACTCCATATAGTTAACATTTTGACAGTACAGTGGTACCACATTGTATTCTAGTCTATTATTTTGAATATCAAGCAATTTTTAACAGTATAGTGTACACCTAGCTTATACTCTACATTTAATGTGCTAGACAAGATGCTTCTTCAACAGTAAACACTCTGAAACATGCCTGAATCATATCCTACATCTGTGTTAACAAACAAGAAAATATCTTGTCTTTATAAATGAAGGAAGCTTTCTGGGCACTCACAATTTCATCAAATTGACCTCATAAAAGATGAATATGCTCATATCTTATAATGGAATACAATCATTCCAAGACTGTCTAATGGTCTATGTAAAGTTTTTTTTGTAGATACTTACTGAATCTGGAATCCACATTATTTTTGTAGTAGGGTAAGGATGATCAAATGTACTTTTGGCAACAAAATCTGAGGTTTCTTCATCTAATGCCACTATCTGAACCTGAAAGATTATTATTTAAAATCATTTGATACAAACTGAAGAATGAGATGAAAGGACTAATTTATGAAATCTTTCTTGTAAAAATTCAAAGTTTTCTTTCAAACTCAACTTTTTATTGCTTTCATAATGAGATTTGGCTATGGACTAAATAACTTATATTTTGTAATATTAAGAAAAGAAAATTGTCGTAAGAAATCACTTGGAAATAAAATTCAAATCAGTATTAAAAATTCCAAATATATTACTAGCATGACTTACTTTGTTATTGTATTCTTCAACAAAACTACCGAGAGCCAATCGAAATCGTTTATCAGGTCTGACACTCCAGTTCATACTATACACAGTCCATGGAGCTTCATATTTATATATCTCTTTCCGCTTTCCTGGTGGTGCATTCGCGTGATTCGAGTGGGGTATAGTATTCATCCTGCAATTTAAGTCATCATTTAATGCAAACATTGTAGGCTATCTTTTCATTTTGAAGCTTCGCTGACAATGCTTTTAAAATTGCAGTCAGATTTGATGCTGACAATTAATCTATAGATTGTGGCAAGTATGTAAAAAATCATCTAGATATTAATAACCACACCTTATCCTTGCCCTCTGAGATTGAGCTAAATTAATAAACAACTTTTCATTTCAGCTGCATGAAGTGTGAATGCGATCGAATGTAACTAATTATAAGAGAACAGTATCCATAAATAAATGTTCAGAAAAAAATAAAAGGTGCATGGTCTTCTTAACTGCAATCCATATAACACCTAAAATTTGGAACACTGGGTGAGGGACTAGTGCTACTCTTTCCGAATGCTGAACTTTAAATAGCGATAGATAATCAAAGCGATAATTACATGATTTCTTTCAAGAAACTTTGATCTAACCGACTGTCAACAAAAACCAAGATGGCGACTGGGCTTTATTTACTTTATCATTTTTACGACATCAAAAATTATGTAGGTCAATTTCGTTTTAATTTGATTATTTTATTGAATTAATTCATACATTCATGTGATAGATTCTATGCTATTTTGTACCTGCACTGTTCAAAACTATAATAAATAGCAAGTTTGATAATTACGACATCCTAAAACAGCATTTTATTAAATCAAATCCGTACCTAGTCAGAGAGACAGTAGACATTAAAAATATAACAGTAAAACATTTCAAATAAAACAGCTACAGGCAGTCATTTTTTAGATATGTAAATTTTTGGATGTATTGGTTAAAATAGTCAAATCAAGAAAAAGTCTCTAAAATCAAGATACTTATTTTATGTTGATTGCCTGGTTACGAAATTGTCACAAGATAAAAACTAATTCAGCGGGAAATGGCGAAAATTAGCTGTCTACAAACTACCGTTATTCTTGGATGAACTCGGTACTGAGTCCTAAATCGGCTGCCGATAACTCAATCAAGATGTCGGAGAAGACACAAATCTTCAAAGATGTCACTTTTTATATCGTGGGTGATATTAGTGAAGATGTAAGTGATAAATATATTATCCAGTGCTGTAAATGTTTGGTTACGTTTTTGTCCTTAATGTCCAAAAAAAGGTGTGGGGTGGGGGGGTTGGGATGCAGTAGTTTCTTTAAAATGCACAGGCGTCTACGGGTCTTGTCTAACCAATGTTAATACTCATTTAAAATTATTTTATAAGTCTTTTAAAATGTTCTTTGCTATTCTATTTACTATAACAAATCCTGTTGGTATTTCAGGTGATCAATTTGCTATCCAGTGAAGGAGGTAAACGTGATACCTACCTCAGTGAGATGGTCAGTCATGTTATAGCTGACAGTACAGAACCTGATGAATATTCAGAAGCTAAAGAAATATTTGAAAGACCCATTGTTTCAGTAAGTAGTTGAAATAAGTCATGCTTGAGTCCTTTGGGAATATCAACTTTAGGGAATAAGTGGCTCCTAATATTTTTTTAAAATGAATTTATGAATTTTACGTAGATGATAGTTCGAGGCCCTGTGTGTAACATGCTATGAAGTTAAGATCCCTTCTCAGTTTGGACAGTGATATAGATTATAGAGTAGGGTAATGCCACTGTCTTGACAATCTTGTTCTCATTGCACCCTGAAAGGCATTGCAATTAGCCCATTAAGAGAGGACCTAAAATTTCCCTCATTGTACACTTAAAGGCTTACTTATAACCCATTATAGGATGACCTTAAACTCCATTTCTTTTTATTTTATTTCAGAGTAATTGGGTGAGATTATCAGTTATTTGTAAGAAACAGCTACCTAAAGAAAGATTTGCTCTGGAAGGATGTTTATTCTCTGGTGTAGTGGCTTGTCCATCTAGAGTAAGTATTATTTATCACTGTCATCTCTTGCTGTAAATCAGTGCCATTTTCCAATAAAAATTATGATCAAAAATATTCATGCACTGCCAGGGGAAAATGACGAAGACTGCCATAACTTAATTTTATTTTTTTTATTTTTCAAGCTTGATGTGACAGATGCCAAGTCTGTATGGTCTATGTTAGTATATAATGGAGGAAGATGTCAGTTAAATTTTGATAAAAATGTGACCCATTTAATCTGCAGCAGTACTGATGGGGTATGTATAGGCTCAGTCTTAAATAAAATGAAATTAGAATTGCAATGTAACAAGTCTACCATAGTCTGGTTCTAATAATTTATTGTGAATCAACAAAAGTGTGTCATGCAGGACATGATAACAATGATGATTTGTGTGATATTTGCTACAGGGAAGCTTTCATATAGCTCTAGTAGAATATACTCTTGATTAGACTTTTTATGCTTAAAACTGTTCTTTAGGCCATAATACACTCACCGATTGGCTTGGCCAATGCTTAAATATTTGGCTTCTCATTTCAGGTGAAATATGCTAAAGGGTTAAACAAGGAGAAGGTTCATACAGTGACCCCAGATTGGGTTACAGATTGTGTGAAGAAAGAATCCAAACAAGAGGAGACAATCTACCATCCTAGATTAATCGTCTATCCTAAACCAGAAACCCCACCACCCAAACCTAAACCCATGTTCTCCAAACAACATACAGACTTGAGTGATCTCTCGGCAATGATTGGTCAACAAATGGCGCTCGGTAATCTCACTGCTCCAAGTCCTTTTGCTCGTAGAAGAAAATCTTCCAGTGATGATTCTCCAAGAAATGGCAGCAGACCTGGAACTCCTAGTGCCAAAGAAGCTTTGGCAAGAATGGTTAGCAGTCGTCTACAAGCCAGTGGTAAAAATGATCCAAATGAAATATCCGCAACTTTGGCATCTATGTTCCCTCATGGACAGTATCCAGGCCCACCCCCTGGTCTTCCTCTTAGTCCTGGACAGGCCACCATGCCCTTTGGACAGGCTCCATTGCAAGGCATGTCATATGGCATGAGTATGGGTCAAGGTCAGTCACCAACCAGAGGTCATTCACCAGTTCAAGGTCATCCATTAGCTCATATGCCACATGCTGGTCAAGGTCATCAACAGAATCAAATGTACATGCAAGGGCAGTTACCTCACATGAATCAAAACTTGCAGCAGCCGCATCAAAGTCCCACACATCTCCAAACGAGTCCGAACCCACACCACATGCAGACCAGTCCTAATCAGTCCCCTCATCTGTCACCTGGGAAACACCCAAGCCAGATGATGATGATGAAGAGCTTAGCACAGCCTCAGATGTCACCAAAACACCCTGGACAGATGTCTCAAAGCCCAATGCCACCTCAAGGACAAATGCCACATTACCCTGGTCAGGTCCCAGGACAAGTTCCTCTACATCATCAAGGACCTCCTCAACCAATCATGAGTCAAGGTCAGGTCAGACATCCAGGTCAAGGTCAAGTTCCTCCAATGAGTCCAAGTCACATGCATAATCAACTGCCTGCTCCAACAGGCCAGATGAGACCTCAAATGTCACCTGGCAAGTTTCAAGGTAAACCAGGACAGCATCCTAGACAGCCTGGTCCCCGGCATCGACAACCACATCCACAGATGCAAATCCCAGGTCAAGGTCATCCACAGTTTCCAGGTCACCCAGGTCATCAAGGACCTAATGCTTCACCTGGAAAAGTGTCAATGCCAAGTCAAATGCCTGCACAGTATCAAAACCAAATGCAGCATCAGCTTCAAGCACAATTACAGAATCAGCTGCATATGTCAAACCAGCTTCAGGGGCAGATGCCTCATTCACATCCAGGTCAGATGCCAAGTGTTCAAGGTCAAGCTGCGGTTCATCACCAAGGTCAAATGCCAACCCAGTTGACCACCCATCCTCCACAATCTCAAATGCCACACCAGATGCAGAGCCAAATGGCTGGGAAGATGCATAACCAGATACCACACCAGTTACAGAGTCAGATGTCACCTCAAATGCCAGGTCAAATACCCAATCAGATGCAAGGTCAAATGCCAAATGTTGGTCAAGGTCAGATGTCAGGGCAGATACCAGGGATGAGTCTATCTGGTGTATCTAATTCTGGTATGATGCAACAGTTACAGAAGGAAGCATTTCAACAGAATCGCACTCTACGTAATATAACCAATAACGCTCCTGGTGCTGAGATGATTAGATCACCCAATAAACAGGCTGCTTCTAAGGTATGTTAAAGTATGTGATTTGGAAATAAGTGCTAATTAAGATATGCATATGGGTAAAGAAATGTGTTAAATACAATGAGGTCATTCATATTCAAGGGATTGTTAAGACCTTCAGATACAACAAGCAGCTTTTGCGATAGTGACTCTCTAAAAGTTTAGTTTTGATGGTATTGTAAGAACCACAGATGTCTGAATGAAATTTGAATGGTGCAAATTGATGCTCTCAGTGTCTTTAATACACCTAAAAGTTTTAAAAAACCTTAATATACCTTTCTAACAAATCTTGTTTTATGACCAGCTACCTCTAAATGATGTTTGTTATGTTTTTCTTTAGATCAGTCAGATGTTAGAGATGAATCGTCCCCCTCCCCCAATGTATCCTGGTCGAGGAATACCTCCTGGTGGATTACAGAGACCTCCAGCACCAACTCTACCTGTTTATTATGGACATGATCCTTCAGAGAATAGTGAGTATTAATCAGTATCATGCCTGTGATAAGCTCAAGAATTGTTGATAGATGTTAAAAGCCGACAACTGTCCAACTCTCACAACTGGCCTTGGCATTGGAGTTTCTCTTAAGAGAGCCTACCTTTTTGAGGAAAATCATAACTTTTTGGATATGTTAATGTCACAAAATAAAGAGTCAACAACTTTAACAAAAACTGAAAATCCCCCAAAAAATATGCAACATTGAGTTATTTCTAGCATATATATTTCTAAATTCTAATTAATCCTTGATATTATTTTTGAATTTCAGTCGCTCCTGATATGTGTCTTATAGGATGTGTCTTCTATATACATGATTACCAAAGTTTATTAGGAGAAAATGAGATTAAAACATGGAAAGAGGTAGCTCTAATATTTGCACGTTAAAAACTATCATATACTGCTCGTTAAAGACTTCTGTTACACAAAATCAGTAGTTATGTTTGGCATTACTTGCCTTCAGTTCCATTATTTGAGAAGGTGCTGACACATTTTGGAATGTCATTATGATGTGTGATTTTGTTAGTAACATTTTTGTTATGTGTATTACAGGTAATCAGTCAACATGGTGGAGAAGTAGAAGATACATATACCTCTAGAGTTACTCATGTTTTATGTTCAAATCAAAAATCAGAGATCTTCCATAAGGTAAGTTATTATTAAACTAACAGATAGCTTTGTATTCCATGGAAAAGATTATGTTATTATTACCATATTTATGTGGTATAGGGGAAGCCATATTGGTTATATGAGTCATCCATATGGTTACTTTAATTCATTAGATAGTAAAGATATTACTTTGAAGACTATATATTAATGAATAAATAACAAATTGTGTTTTAGGCTTTGAATGATCAGATACGTGTAGTAACAGCGTTCTGGTTGAATGATTGTTTAATACAAAAAAAAATGTGTCCACCATCACAAGCTCTACATTTACCTGTTCCATTTGGTGAACAAAAACCTTGTCATAATCAGGTAAGTAATAAATTTATTTTATTGAAAATGATTTGAATTTAATTTCAATTGATGATGGAAATATATTGAGAAAATCAGAATAGGTTTTGTCTTGAGAGGCTTCATAATGAATGAAGTAGAATATAGTTCTCATGTAACATGAGATAAGTGTGGTTCTTTGCACCTTGCCAAGTTTCCTGTGGATTTCACCATAAAAAAACCTACTATCACATCAGAAATTTCATAGTTGTATTGTAGCTTAACTGTTGAAGTTATTGATATATTATAACAGTATTAAAACTTGTCTTGTATATGAATGGTGTTTTTATATATATAGCTTGTGTAAGCATAAACAAAAAAAACTTAGATATATGGTTTTATTGTAGATAATTTGTGTAACTAATTTTGATGGTGAAGAAAGAAAACGTGTAAAACAGTTAATAACTAGTCTAGGAGCTAAATATACTGGGTATTTAACTCATACCAACTCAGTCCTCATCTGTAAAAAGTAAGTGGATAACTTCTATTTATACTTTCTCTTCAACTTTCTATCAAACTCTTCCTCACCTACTTTCAATAGGGTACTGTATATATATGATAGGAAGAGAATGATAATGAATTTGATTCTCCAGTCTAGCCAGTCTCAGTAAAAGCCCGTCAGCCTGTGTTATTTCTGAAAAAGAACATGTATTTTTATTTTCTGTTATTTTAATTTTACAGACCTGATGGAGTGAAATATAAGAAAGCTAAAGAATGGAAGATACCTGTAGTAAATGTACAATGGTTAACAGATTTATTGTGTGGTTATCTTGATGCTTTACGTCTACCTTTAAACCAAAAATATAAAATACCCAACTTAGTTAATCCCTTTATCTTAAATACTGAATTAGTTAGTAGACTGTTAGGTAAGTTTGGCTATATATGATTTTGATTTATTATATACTGTAGTCAGGTATAGCCCTTTTCGTAAATTTTACCCGAGTTTAGCTGTTTGGCCAGTGCTTTTAGAAGATTGCGCTTTTTCCTCCTTCTGTGGACATTTTACTTGACATTGTGACAGAAATTAACTTACATTTTTTTTATTTTGGTCTTGTATTAATTTGTAAACTTATCAATATACCAGATATGACATGAGTAGCGATTCATTACTGACTTATTTTATACATGGTGGAATTGAAAGAAGGTGTCATTTATTGCTTACATAAGTTTAATTTCTACATTACAGTGGGTTGGAGACTTCCATTAAAAGTACCAAAAGAAGCTTGGGTGGTAAGATATCCATAATATATTCTAATAATGGACTCGATGGCAGTGTGTTTTATTTGTGGAAGGTTTATTAGTTTGAAATGTTATATTCAGTTGACAGAGTAACTTTAAGAAGGCATATCAAATGTATTTATACAAAATCACACTCTTCATTGTTTCAGAAATTTATATCCAAGCCAAAGCCATCCCCAGATCAAGAAAATATAAATGGTGTTAAACGACCACTAGAAGATTCCAATATAGAGGAAGTTTTGTCTAAGAAACCAAGGTTAGTTTTAATCAGGAATCTTTTGTTATCTTACTACCCCGTACTTGAGTTAAGCAATCTAATATCTAATTTAAAATGTCATCCATTGTCTATTTAAAAAAGAACCTGAAAAATTTGAGAAAATGATGTATGTAGTAAAGCATTTAGTCATTATGAAAATGTATGTAATAATATATATAATTATAGACTAGAGCCTCCAGTAACCTATTTAAATATTGATATATATTTATTTTTTTGTAGACTAGAGTCTGTAACATCCAGTAATACTTCAGCCGTTTTATTTACTGGTTTCTCTTCTGTTATAACCAAACAGTTACACAAGGTAATACTTATCATATTCAAACTGTTCCAGGAACTCACTTCCACACAGCCATTTCTACTGTTTGTTTTGTAAATATGAACATATGCATAGCTAGATACTTTGGTCAATGAGTACAGCATGAGGCAAAACTCGTAAATACAGGCAACCCCTCTTGTATGAAATTATTGTTTTGATTGGTTAAATTAAATATTCTCAAATGATACTTTTTTGGCATTTACTGATTAGGGAAATTGCAATTCACTACATAGATTGTAAAAACTGTTTTCCACTCCTTGAAATATTATTGATCTATTTCATGAATCTTCTATACTTTGCTCAAGGTTTTATTGGATATTGTACTGTGTATAGTATGTATTGTAGGTATATATTTATATTCTTTTTTCCATTACAGATTGCTGATCATCTAGGGCTATCAGTGGTACAGAATGCTAAAGATTGTAGTCATGTTATAATACCATCTTTATCTAGAACTATTAAACTATTTGAAGCTATTAGTGTATGTAAATATATACTGACTAGACAATGGTTAGATGATAGTTTAGACCAGGCCAAGTTATTAGGTAGGTTTTTACATTGATAAAGAAATAAAGAATTATAAAATTGCTGTGGTGACAGTTTCAAATTGAAAGAGGGTGGCCTCATGACAATGCAGTGTTTTGCCTCTGTTCATTAACAAACTGAAGCAGAAGAATACTATGTACAAATCCATTTTTTTTTGTCCACCACTGTTGCCTTATGGCAATAAAAACAAGTGAAATAAATAATTTATAATACTATGTTTCAGATGAAGAAAAGTATATGTTAAAAGATACGAAGAATGAAAAAGAATTTAGTTGTTGTATTATTGATTCTTTACATAGAGCACAAATTAAACCATTGTTTCAGGTAGTGTATTGTTCTTAATCTAACAATTTCCAGCACGCTTCCCCAAGGATATCTAAAATGCATGTTAACTTCTCAAGATGGTCTTGAATCAAGGGTGTTAAACATTATAGACATTCTCTTTATTTCTTGGTCTTGGCTCACTATTCAGATGTTGAATATTAGAAGTAATCTTGACTCTCCAAACATTGATTTTACATCTAAAATATTTGTGGGATGCAGAACATGGGGTCTTGTTATAAATAGGTCAAATCTCTCCATGTAAAATGGCTTCTTACTAGTGTGATTGTGACAAAAAAATAAGCAAACTTTTTTGTTTTCAGGGTATGACATTTTATATCACACCTAGTGTAGTTCCGTCCACTAAAGATCTCACTCGTATCATCTCGAATGCTGGAGGTACAGTAGTCAATCGTAGACCCTCAGCTAAAACTATTCTTACACAGCTTGATGATAAGGTAAACATATTTATTATTTTGTATGATATTATTTTATGGTATGAAGGCTATAGTATGTTGAGGAATATGATTCGAGAGTCACATATTAGCTAGGACTAATTGTCTAGAAGGCTGTCAAATAAAATAGAACTAATTGCCGACTAATTTGAACGAATTCACAGACTATTGAAAAAGTAAATGAACAGCCCTGCTATCAGCTACATGTATTTATTAGTAGTTCACTAATTCTGCCATATTGGTTCACTTATTGATACTCTAGTCTTTCGCCAATAGGCCTACCAATAAGTTGATAATCAGAACATCAACGAATTAGGCCATGACTGTATTTTATATCTGATAATGCAAAAATACAAACACATTTAATTTCCTTATCATATCATTATACAATCAGCTGTAATAAATTACTACTATTGTGCCACAAAACCCTCCTTAATTCTAGAATTCTAATTGACACACTATCTGTTTTCAGGGTAAACCTACGTTTATAGTTATAACATGTAATAATGACCTTCATCTCTGTCGAGATTTATTTGCTCAGAAAATCAGTAAGTTGCTATTTAACTACTCATATTCCTTTTATAATAAGAATAAAAATAGATTTTTACACCCTACCTCTCTGTTTCTTATTTAACTAAAACACCTTGCAGTGTGCTATATTAAATTAAGCCTTATATGGATCACACAAGAACTCTAAATCTCTCTAAATTTCTCGCAAAAGTAGGACATAAAACTCCATTCATTTCATTTCATTTCTAAATTCTCTCGATGAGGTACGGTACAGTAGAAAATAGATAACTATATCATGTCTGCATCATGGCCAGATTTTTTACTACATCAACGGACACTGCACTTGGTAATTCGCAGCTTTACTATTTACAATGAGAGATATTACATTTCCTCTTGATTCTTAGCTGTGTTCATGAAGCACATATTTTGAATGTTCCACTTGAATGATATGTACTAATATGTTGTCTGTTTATATTACAGATGTTTATAATGCAGAGTTTGTATTAACTGGTGTGTTAAGACAAGAAATAGACTATACAATGTTTACAATAACCATACCGACCTGATATTAGCTGTAAGCATAATAGGTAAACATAGAACAATAGGAATTAGAGATGAATCTGAGATATATTCCATACATGACAATCTATTCATCATGAATAGCCAATATCAACTTTGTCTAGGATGTAAGAATTATAGGGCTATAACATTAAATCAATCTGCTTTTGGTCAACAAGAGGTTCAAATTTGAAGAGATATTGAAATATTTTGGGCATATTGAATGAAAATAATCAAGTATTTAATTGAATGGTGTTTTACTGGGGTGTAAATTCATGGTGTTATTTAGATTACCAGTCGATTGATATTTTGTTGATGTTTATGTATTCAATTTGTTAGGGGATGGTGCAAAAATTGAAAACTAGTTTGACATGTTTTGAAAATAAATTAATAATGTTTCATATGTTTTTTTATAAAAGAAGGAATAAATGGTGCCCATGTGAATATATTTATGTGATTTATAAACTGTTGATGTATTTTGTAAATATTTTTGTATTTTTAACTAACACGTGTGTAATTCAAATTTTATATTAAAATAATAAAAAATAAAAACAAATATGGTATATTATGGATCTTTGTATTGAAGAGTGTTGATCCAAGTACTTGGTTGAAAATATCTTGAAGTTTGTAAAATAATTCAGATACCTGTAACAGCAGACAAGCACAATACCAGAATATTTCAATAGACAATTAGGGCCGAAAGTAGAACTTTACAAAGAATTATAGCCATTTTCTGTAATTTTAGAGACCAATATAGACTTTCTTTACATGCTAGATAAATATAACTGGTCTGTGAAAATGCGTGGACAATTAAAATATGTATGTGAATAGTATAGTTATATTTCCGTGAAAAACTTCAATATATATTTCCACTTAGATAAGCTTATAGACATATCTACAGATAAGTTCACCAAAAACACAAATTTCAGTCATGGCATTCCTAGTTGACTTCATATATTTGACATTGTTTTTCACTTTGACAAATATTATACTTATTATCACCTTTAGTAACACACTTGGCTAAGTACCTGATTCCTTCAATAAATACGGACTGTCTTCAAACTGTATATTTGGTTTATGAATCATGTCCTCTATCAATGTCCTAGGTATATCAAACTCTGGTATGGCTTGTTCAGGGAAACTGTCTTTTAATACTTGAATACATCTGTTGGTCAGTTTAAAAACTGAAATGCAAATATATTTTTTTTTTTTTTAAACAATATTTATTCAAGAATTACAAATATATCATATTAAGAAAATAGTGTATTTCAGGCAACAGTCTTTCAAGCTAGCAGGTTCTTAGTAAATTAGTTGTTTTCTAATATCTGATTGAGCATTGGGTTGAGAGTTGGAATGTCATCTGAATCTGTCTGGTATTGGCTTTCAATCCCTATCACTATAACCAAGCAATAGTATTTCAAGCTAGCAGGTTCTTGGTAAATTAGTTGTTTGATATCTGATTGAGAGCCAACAAATGTGTTTAGGTAGGCCTAATTATGGCAATGAACTGGCTAAATAACCAATCCCTAAAAGCAAAGCTAATACCTAAAAGCTACATAAAAATACAAAAAAAGATCATCCAAAATAGAACATGTACTTCCTGCCCTGGGCCTTGGCAACAGAATTGCTTTAGACCACAAAAAAAATGACTGATAATAGGCTACCTGGTATATGAATATTAATCATGGTTCTTTCACTTCTGCCATCCCAAGCTTGAGGAAAATAAACTTCTTTACCATTAAATAATAAAACATCATGGGTCACGGCATCTCTAGCTATCCACGGATGAGTTACATATGTGTTTATATGATGATTTCGGTCCGTTGAGAAGTTCTCCATATACTTCACTTTTTGCCCTTTGTAATCTAGCCAATAAACGTCAACTTTTCTCGACGATATATTGCGAAACGTGATAAAAGCTGGGATATCATTGTTTTGTGAACGTAATGGGGGACTTTGTTCACAATTCTGGGCACCTGTCATTGTCTTAATTTCTCTCAGAGCTTTAGAAAACCAGAAATTATTTATTGTCAATATTTTTGACAGCTTTCTATTATTGTTAGACCTAAATATGGTTGTCGTAAACTCTACTTGAGTTACGTCCCTTGGTGAATTCAGACTACAATTAATTCTCAGCTCTGCTCTATATACGGCTCTGCTTTAACACAGTGCAGCATAATATACCGCTCTGATATACGACACTGCTTTGACAGTGTTATTTACATGTATGTTAAACTCTTAGGTCATATATGCAGCTGAAAGAGTTAAAACAAAAATAACAGACGAATGTAATTTTTAAACTTAAGTGGCAGGGAATAATATTCAGGCATTTATACTTTTTGATCATCTTTTGCCTGTAGATCAGCTGCCTCCAATTAGCTCTTGTCCAGCTGGATTTTCGTCTGCTAGGCGATTAGGTGCTATGGGTTCAAATTCTCCTCAATGTAAGAAAAATTCTGATGCCTGTGCTAGTGTGCTCGAGAGTCGGCCTGGTGTCAGCTCTCACCCTCAAATAACTAGTAAATTATCATTTAATAAGATTATTCATTTATTTAGTATTTATACCAATAATAAACATTACCCTGTTAACAAATAATAAAAGAGATACATAGAATTAATAGATTACATTTCTTATATTGCCATTTACACAGTAAGCAAACCATAATATCATATAGGAGGTAGTGGAATAAAATTGCAATCCAAGGGAGCTGAAGGACAGAATTAAAATGAAAAGGAATGATATATCTCTTTTCATCAACCATTGATCATTTGTTCATTTAAAGATGTTAGTGAAATTACAATAATCAACTAGATTTCAGCTCAACCTATGAAGCTTATTTTTTGTGAAAAAATGACTAATAACTCTAGAAATGAGGTAAAAAAAAGTATGGTCTAAGCTTGAATACATTTTTCACATTCCATTACTTGCGCCGTGCTTCCATGACAACGGTTTCGTGCTTACCCGAGGAGGCTGTCACATGGTTGCCATTGGGATACTTGCCGGCCCAGGGGGGTGGGTTACTTCGGCCTGGCCAAGTAAGCGCTAGTGATGACGTCATCGCTAAAACGAACGCACTTGAGCTTCTACGAGTAAGCGCGGTGCAAGTAATCGAACAGGCAATTATGAATCTTGAAAATGAAAAGTGTTATTGTTTTTCTGAGAAACCCATTGTCTAGCCATAAATACCCATCCTGGAATTGACTTCATATTTCAATTTCAAAATGTAAGTTAATTGACACAGCTGGTTAAACGAATACATGAAGTAAGATGAATAAATGAATTTAAAAAGATTTAGAAGAAGGAAAAATTGCACAACAAACAAAACCTTAACAAGATAAAACAAAACATATCACCACAGTTAATCAAGCCAAAATACCGAGACCATCAGTCAGTAAGACAGGTCAGTCACAAGATATTTTGGCTTGATAAGTCAATGTTAATCAATAATCATAGGCACTTTCAAAGTAGGATTAGCAATATCATATTCTATTACTAGTATAATGCGTGCAGATATCAGTATTTCCGGTATATTGGCAGCCTGTTAACAATCATAATAATAATAAAATCTTTAATTACAAGGGTGAAAATTAGGCCAAAGGCCTCTTTGTTAAACAGGGGTCCACTGCATCTGAAAAAAATAGTATTCCTGACCAGCAAACTGATATTTACACTTTTGTCATCATAATCTGGTCATGATGGAGTACAAATTTACATATTCCAGTACATGTATAAATAAACCAGAGAAGTCTTCAAACATTCAGAAGGGAAGATGAGTAGTTAAAGCTTAGTAACAAACTTACGAATTATAATTTATTACTCCTTAAAGGTGCGGGCACACGAGTCGTCATGGTCAGAGATTTTTGTCGCCGATAAGACCCATGAGTAAAATCTCGCGTGTGACTGTGCTTCAATGACAAGATTATCTCCGACAGGATTTATATTTAACAAGCTTATAATTGTCTCTTATAGTTTATATCATCTGCAAGACAGATCGTCATCATCCAATCAGATTCTTTTTCCTGTCAATTGCATGCTCCACACTAATTATCAAATAGTGGAAAATGACTGACTGGAGATTTTTGTCTCCTTGTGTGCCCGTGCCAGTCGGTGAAACTCTTAACAAGAATCTCTGAACAAGATCGTTCGTGTGCCCCCACCTTTAGACAAACAATGCAACAATTTTTACAAGACACATTATTTATAATAATAATAAACTCTTTATTGTACATGGTCCAATTGTATAAGGCATAGAGCATAATCCACCATTCTCACAATGTCAAGCCATCACAAAGTTGGTACTTATACCTTGACTGCAATAGTCACCTTTCTTGTATCACAGAAGTTAATAAATAAAGCGATTTGATTGGATTGTACACTAGCAAATACAGCTAATCAGAGGCGATGATAAATGTCTGCGAACACTAAGCCATAATCGACTCTGATTTGCTATATTCGCTGACATACACTCCAATCAAATTGCTGCATTCAGTGATAGTTGCTACTGCAGTCATGGTTTAAGTACAAAGTTCTTAATAGATTGACATTTTGAAGATGATGTTTCTCGTATTCTGTACCAGAAGTGAAAATTCGGATTTACCGTTGGATATATAACTTATTGATTGGAATGATGATTGACATTAGTAATGGTATATGAAAGAATAATTAAAAAAAAATATCAATCATCATTTGCCTTCAATTAAAACCAGTATCACAGATTATCAAAATAGCATAAAATATTATATACATGTATTAGAAAAAAACCATATTACATATGGACATACAAGGCTGGATATACACTGAGAGAGGAAACAAAAACACCCCTAATTTTACAAATGAGCTCTTCTTAAAAGTGAACAGTTACAAAGTGATTGAAAGTATGCATGTGTGGAAGAATTCAATAGAAAGTTGAGGGGTGTCAATTAGATCACCGGTTCCATATATTCAGCCTTAAAGGTATACTACCTCTTGGGATGATCAAAAAATTGAAATTTTCAAACTTGGCCATAATGAGTCTTTGTTCATCAGTGGACTTACCCGGTATCAAAATTATACACAGAAGCCCTCCATAATCCAATAAATCCATAAAGCTAAGTAAGAATCCATAAACTAATTAATTTTGAAACATGCTAAGAAGCGTTTTTCAATAATTAATTAGTTTAATGGATATATCGTGTTATTTTCCTGTTTATTCTTTAGTCATGGCACCTGGTAAATCCAACTGATGAAAATATATTTTCATTGACCAAGTTTGAGGCTTTAATTATTATGTCCATTCTAAGAGATAATACTCCTTTAATAGATATACAATGCTTTTAAAAAATGCTTAGATCCTCAAAATCAATCAAGTCTTCTGTAGATTCCTACCAGTCTCTGACAGTTTCTACATTTATGTTTCACATCTTTTAAACTGTCTACACAGAATGGAATCAAACAACACCCAAACCATAGCCTGAAGAGAAAGATAAAATAAGACCATCACCAAAATAAAATAATAGGATAGGATGGAATTAAATAACTGAAAAAAAGTATTGTAGTTCATATAAACAAGTTATAGTCAACTTTGGACCTGACCAAATTGGTCAAGTTCAAAATGGCCACAAAATTACTATTTGATTTTAAAATTGAGGTCAAAATATCCCAGTAAGAATGTGTTTATAACTTTATAAAATCAATAGTCGCTAAAATGGTGATAAATCAAATCATATAAGCTACCTGCCAAGTCCACCCAATGATCTAACATATTCAAATAATAATATGGAAATGAAAAGATTTGAGATGAAAATAAAACAAATGTGATACCAAGGCAATATATATATAAACTAATGTTAACAATTGGGAGACAAATAAAATAGTTTCTGAAAATCATTTGGAAAAATACAGGAAATTCCTCATGCAAAAGATATTCCAAATAGAAAATATCATCAAAATTATAATATATCTATCAATCATACAAGGTTGACTTATTAACCATCATTATTTTGTCTAAATATTTAATCGAATCTTCGGAAAAATCCCAGAGTTTCTCCACAGAGGCGACATCTATGTCTGACATCTTGTAAATCATCAATACAGAATGGTATTGGACAACATAACCAACAACTATAGAGCAAAATATAGCAACTCATTACTAATGGTATATGAAAAGAATTTTGATGACAACTCAATTCAATCAGAAAGATTTGTTCTGTTTTAAATCTATTAACTTTCAGATTTTTTTTAAAAACAAAATCCATCCCAAGCTTAAATTTCATATTTAAGAAAGCTAAACCTAATTTTCTTGTCATGTGCCTTTGCAGCGATATGTCTTGGCAAAATTCTATATCCATGGAATATATCGGAGTTTAGACCCATTTTCAAAAAAATAATGCTAAACAAGGCTAAGATTGCATCAGCTAAGTTGTAATGTACTTTTTGCAACTATTCTTTACATGTCTTTGCATAATCAACTACTGCAACCAACTTACACTAGTAAATTCAAGAATATTACAAACTACAACTTTCATGACTTGCTGACAAAAAGATAGTGGACCACAGCCATATACGCCCACCACGGCATGCGGATGGTAAATAGTCAAGATTTTGGGGCAAGGGCAATAACTCTGCTTCTAACGGTCGAAAATAGCTCAAATTAGAACTTGATCTTCGTTTTATGAATATGTATACACATACCGAATTTCATTTGATTCCATCAAAAAATTACAAGCAAATGTTGACGGATGTCCAGACAGGGGTGCCGAAAATATACGTCCACATAGAGAGATGTGGACGTATAAAAACTATTCAAGAATGAAAATGATTCTTACCCAAATAAACATAATAAACCAGAACTTAACCAAGTTAAGGCCCCTGATTCATATTGTGTCAATGTAGTAATATGAGCATTACAGTAAGGACAGTAGACTGTTTGTGGGTCTGGTCCCCATCTATTCTGAGGTAATGTTACTATCACTGGGGCACCTGTTACCACGGCTTGATAACCTACAATATCAAATTATAAAATCATTTTCACAAGCATATCTTGAGAAAAGACTTGAAATTTGAGTCCACTTAAATCCATGCAGCAACTAATATTGCAGATGACATTCTTATCTGCTACTGAATGTCTAACAGATAGGGTATTGAAGTTCATGCATTAGACAATCATAACTGTATAGTTTTGTAATTCATTTCATTACCTAAACAATCAATATGGCTTATATTGTAGAAAATTAATTTTCAGGTTCAGTTTTACAAGTTTTACCACCCGAGTAAGGACCAAAAAGGAAAAGAAGTTTAAAAACTAAAAATTAACTAGGCCTAATTATAAACTAAGATCACTTTTACAGTTCCATAAAATAAACAGAATCAGTGTCTGTTTTCTAGTCTCTTTCAACCCTGACTTATCAACTGGTTTAACTATTATATTCTAGGCTATGAAAGAATTAATTTTTTCACTGATTATTTATAAGCAATGTTTTACCATTAGCTGGTTGATACATATTATGATGAGAAGAAACATTTTCTTTAGGAGGTTCATATTTTGGTGGTGGATCATTGGGGTATGGTGAACCATCTGCTGCTTCTTGATAGGCAGGAGGTGCTGCGTAATTTGATGTTGCTGCTGACATTCTCGTTTCTTCTGAAAGAAAATCAACTAAATCAAATTTTAGAGATCAAATTAATTGAAAAATGACACTAAATCTCATCTTGACATTTTTATAGATAAAAAGAAAGTTAATGCATTTTAATGAGATCCACAAGATTTAACATCAAGCCAAGCCTATATCAAATATTTGAGCTTTGTTTCATTCTTGCGGAAAGTGTGAAAAGCTTAAACTGTAGTTATGTGGATCAGGGCCATTTATGCTTCAATTTGCATCATTCCATTTAGATGTCTATGGTTCCTGTAATTGTAGAAACGCTTAACCATATATGGCATTACTATCGCTGCTAATAGTTTTACCAATAAAACATTTAAATAGAATTGAACCAACAGACATCTGTTTTGACTTATAATTGAAATAGTGCAAATTGATGCTATCATTGTCACAAATACACATAAAAAAGTTAAGAAACCCTATTTCTACAATTAATTACCTTTAACTCACCTCAAGGTTCACTAGACAGTTATGTCCCTGTCATAGATCAGTGATTGCAATGGCCTAATTGTTTTCTTGTTGTTAAGTTTCTTAGATGGGCATATAGGCAAAGTTCCTACCCTAGTAGTTTCCTCTCACATAGCCTATAACGCATCAAATGTCAAAGCCAAACCAAAGGTCAAAGTCAAGGTTTACCTTGTTTTTTTTTGTCTATTTTTATTTATTGTTTATGTTTCAAAATTGACAATAATGTAAACGAATTTCGTTATGACAGCCACCTGATACGATTCCACACAGATTAAATACGAGAATATATTAAATTAACATTGAATACTTACAATTAAGGATTTACAGGGCCTTTTTTGAAAGAAATGTTTTGCAATAGTGACTGAAAAATAAAAAGTCAATAAATTGAGCCTGCTCACAAATTCCGGCGTCGACGTAATTTGGACTTCCGCGATTAATATAGTACAAATTTGATACATAATTTTTCAAAATATTTTAAGCCATTTCATTACAATTAGGCTTACAATTGACTCCAATATTTCATTATTGACAAAGTTTCATTCTCCACTCAAGCATAAAGACTTGACGAAGTTAGAGATTCCTCCGCAAAAAGGAAAGGGAGAGAACTCAATCTTTATTTTGGTCACATGACCATGAAATAAATTTTTAGGGAAGAAAATTTAGTAAGTGACACATGATCATTTCGTTCTAATATTCTTTAAATAGGTTCAAGATAAATAATGGGCCAATATTGTTGTTAGGAATCTGCAATTGATTCTGAAGACCTTAGGAAGAGTGTGTTTTTAGGTAGCCAATATGGTGATTTGGGGGATATTGTGTTGACAATGTGTGACCGTACATAAATTAATGGAATGGGAGCTCTTATTCCCCACCCACCATTCATTATTTTTGGCCGATATTTTATCATGACATTGCATGCTTATTGTTGCTTGCTTTAAGCGTTAATAGTTAGTAGGATTAGTGCAAGAAATAAGCTTATTTATGAAGCCAGAGTAATAGCTTGATATATGATCAGTGCCAGTGGTAAGCTTCTGAAAGTGTAGCCTATAGTGAAAGTTACTAATTTGAACCAACAGGAAATTAGCAACTTCAGCAATAAAGAAGACACACTGATATAGCTTAATTTCAGATGTCGAAATCACTATTTAGAACATAAATATGAAATCCTGGTTGTGAAGATTTTGGTAAAAATATTCCAACTGAAATGCAAGTTTGAATTTCTTGTACAAAATTTTCTGTATTTTTATTTTTTTTGATTAGTTGGAGGTCCCTGGTCCTTTGATTAAACACGGTAGTCATTATACTAGTGGACAGATCTGCCAGCATCCTTACTTAAATGTGATAAAACTGCACTGGTAGACTTAATTGATTGAGTAACTGCAGCATTCATTTATTAGAATTTACTTAAATATTCATAGACAATGACTATATCTTATTTCATCTCATTGATTCAGAAATCTTTAGTATTAAAAAAGTAGATCATCATCAGATATGTTTATAGTTATTCTTTTTATTTCAGCAGAGAAATTGTTGATCTAGCTGAGTCGATCATCATCACACCAATCCAAGATGGCGTCTGGACAAGGTAGATATGGATCTAATAATTATTTTGATGATCCTGGCTACAGGGAATATGGCGGAGGTATGACACCATGTTGACTTCTAGATGTCTTTTCCACAAACCTTTCAGTTCATGTCACTTTTACACCCAACTACCATGTTAGTTTCACACACAAATTGAATTAACTGTTGTGTTCTGTTTTTTGTTTTAAATTGTTATACCAAAGTTTGATTTTTGATTAACATGCGAGTTACAGTACTAACTATAGACTGAAACAGAGTTGTTGTTGGTATGAAAATAGAAAAAAGCAGATTCTATAAGGACCTATTTTGCAAACCGTATTTGATGAGCTTATTCAATGAATTTAAAGAAATGTTATACTTGAATTATTTTTCTTGGAATTATTTATATAATTGAAATAAATCACTGATTTTTGATCAGGGATCACGAAAGTAACAATCTCCGTTAGGTTTATGAATTTGATTACAAACATGATGTAATTCCTCTGTCACTCCAGAATTCTCATTCCATACTAATGGTTTCAGTTTTGCTCATGTTAAAATTCGTGTTTCCTTCTATGTGATTTATGTCTCTCAATGTATTAGGGTTTATTTCTATTAAATACTATTGGTGAGTGGTGACTCAAAACTCTGAATATAAGTTTTTAAGTTGTTTTGAAGGTATACTGACCAGCCACTGCTGTAGGTAGACTGTAGAGTTTAGATATTAATGAGACTTATTTTTATACATTTCAGGATTTTCTGGTGGCTCAGCCAGTGTTTCCGGTACTATTGAACAAATAAAATCCAACATCTTCAAAATCAATAGTGGGGGTAAGAACTTTCAATTGTTTCATGTGCCCTGGGACATCATAAGAATCATAAGAAGCTCAACCCATCACAATAAATTCGGTCATGATACATTGGTGAACTGCAACACCATAATATGATATGCCACTTTACACAAATCGTATCACAGCGCTTGGTTGTGTATCTACGGAGCCCCTAAGGCGCAATTGTAAACATATTTATTTATTATTTCGTTTAAACGAAATAAAAAGATGGGTTAATTATTTCGTTTAAACGAAATAGACGAAAAAATTAATTCGTTTAAACGAAATAATAAATAAATATCTTTACAATTGCGCTTTGGGGGTCCCTTGTGTATCAATGTAATCTAGAGCTGTTTTTATTTCTCTATTTCCAGCTAACAGTATAGATAAAGCTATGAAAAGTATTGGTACAGACAGGGACAGTGTACAACTCAGAGATAAAATGTAAGTAGGAAATCTGGTTGTGGAACGTCCATTACACACACATTTATATTTAACCCTCTAACACCAGTGACCAGTCTACAAGCCACAAGTGAGGTGATACACGAATTGTGGGTACAGTGGCAATTAGCAAGTGATGTTACTATTCATAGGGTTGATAAATGTGAGCCATTGCTTCATTCAGTAACAATTGGAATATATAATAGTATAGTATAATACACTGCATTTGCTCTGGAGCCCAATTCCAAAACCTGAGATATGATTTCTGTAGTACACAAGCTATCTCTTTCCTTTCAGAACACCTAATGTCATTCATCCTGGTTCTGTCAGTAAAATAATTGTTCTTTTTTTTTAGCCATGAAACCTCCCAGAATATCAGTAAATTAGTGCAGGATTCTATGAGACAGTTAAAAGTTGTAGGAAACAAACCAGCAGATAAGGTAACATCAATTTCTAGTACAATCAATCTTAATAGCAGTATAACTAAATAAGATTCAAAATGTCAAGATTCAAGATATGCACCTAGATCCGCAACTCTGTATCTTCCCAGTTCCTAAAACGTGATATCATTAATGTTTAAGGCCAGATATTTAATGTCTCTTGTCATGGCTATTAATACTAACCCATTTTTGGATTGCTAGGTTTTGAGATTTTTTCAAAATTCAAAAATTGTTGGGGATTATCAACCATCATATTTGAAAGAATCTTTTAATTATTGCAAAACATTTTCAGTTGGACAGATAAACACTGTTTAATTTTTGTAATTTCAGCAACAAAAAATACAGTTAAGTAAGCTTCGAAATGATTTCCAAGAGTCTGTGGAACGATTCCAGGGGTTGCAAAAGGTATGTGTGTTGATTGATGCCATAGTTATAGGGAATAGATCATGCTAGCATATGTTTGTCGCTTTTACTCATTATGAAGGAGCTCAGAATATTCTGTGCTAGTTGGTTGATTGATGCCAAGCAAACGTTTTCCTTCAATTAACTGATATCACAGACTATATTCTGTGCCCTGTCTTTTATACTAGAAAAAGAATTGGTTAATTGTTGGTATAAAGGTGGAATAAGTATACAATTCCATAAAAAAGCTGGTCTAGGCTCATATACTAAGGAATTATTATTTTATTTCACAATATTTACAGAATCAATGATTATTCTGCAGTATATCCAATCATTCTTATATCATTATGACCAAATAAGCATTAAAAACTTTATGACACGCCCACTTAATGATTGACAGGCACAGGCACATTCGTCTTGAGTATTTATAAATATAAGAGATTTTGGGAGAATAGTCAGAATACATGATTTAAAGTATATGTTTCAATGATTGACATAAATGTCATTTAGAATGTCACAATGTACATGTTATGTTATGTTGAAAATTGGGATGGGCTATATAGGTTAGTGACCTTGCCAGCTGTATTTGTGTATGTACAAATTAAATTCTTACATAAAGAAGTAAATAGTTGTGGGCTATGTACAAAAATAGAAATTGGGGGATTTTGTAATGTGGATTTGAGTAACAGACCCGAGCAATGGGGATTGCCCAGTTAAAACTGAATCTAATTTTCATGTTAATTTTCATATTAATTTTGTAGATGGCTACAGAAAAGGTGAAATCATCTGTGAAATTAGGGTCAAGAAAGGCAACTCCCCAAGTAGACTCTGGAATGACAGGATGGAATGTGAGTTATTTCCCTTTGTTTTAAATTCATTGGTTGGAGAGAAATTCATAAAAGCACTAGCCATGGAAGGCAAAAGACATATCATTTTTCTAGCTCAGTTTAATTGCCGAAAAACACTGAAAGTGAACTCAGATGAAAAAAGAGTCAACAAATATATATTTTATCTCTAAGATACCAAAACAGGTATCTTCAGTATGAGATGAGTCTTTATTTGTTTCATATTATAAAATATTGACTTCATTCCTGTTCATTGAAACCCCAATATCCAAAACAGTTGTCCTGATGAAGACTTAGTATTGGTAATGTGTTACCCACTTATACTGAGCTGTTATTTATCACATACTGAGCTGTTATTTATCACATACTGAGCTGCTATTTATCACATACTGAGCTGTTATTTATCACATACTGAGCTGTCATTTATTACATACTGAGCTGTTATTTATCACATACTGAGCTGTCATTTATTACATACTGAGCTGTTATTTATCACATACTGAGCTGTTATTTATTACATACTGAGCTGTTATTTATCACATACTGAGCTGTTATTTATCACATACTGAGCTGTCATTTATTACATACTGAGCTGTTATTTATCACATACTGAGCTGTTATTTATCACATACTGAGCTGTTATTTATTACATACTGAGCTGTCATTTATTACATACTGAGCTGTTATTTATCACATACTGAGCTGTTATTTATCACATACTGAGCTGTTATTTATCACATACTGAGCTGTTATTTATCACATACTGAGCTGTTATTTATCACATACTGAGCTGTTATTAATTACATATTGAAAAACATTTCCCTGTCTCTTTCTTTTAAAGGATCCTGATGATTTCTCTGATAAAACTCAGTTCTACCATCAAGAAGAGAGAAGAGCTGAATTACAGGAACAACAACAAGTAGTAGAGGATGATTTAGCTTTAATACGAGAACGTGAAGAACGCATCAGACAACTAGAGGTATGTTCAGGATAGGATGGAAACTTGACCCCAGGTCATCACCCATCTTCATAATATCAAGCTTTTCTGTAAATCTGGAATATTTTTTTGAGGTGTAAAGATTAAAGAAGATATTCTTTTCATTCGTCCTATGAAAATTATAATAGCTGTTTGGCAATTGACATTTTATGACAATTTCTCAACCATGAACTTTGAAATTCAACTATCAGAAAGTATTTGGTACTAAAAATTTTACGTCTGGTTATTTAAATATTTTCTCGCAATATTTTGTTAGGAAGAATCAAATTCTTGACCAATCAAAATCAATGACAATAATAACCTTTAACATATAAAACACAGCAAGCTGGTCCAGTGGTCAATTTGCTAAATATATTTGCTCTATGATTACTGATGTTGATTCTATGTATATATTTATTGCTTGTTTTATTTCAGTCTGATATTTTAGATGTGAATGAAATTTTCAGAGATCTTGGAGCTCTAGTGAGTGAACAGGGTGAAACATTAGGTAAGTTTGGATCTGGGTCAGAATTTAGTGAAGATCTCAATTTTAAGATTTGAAATTTTTACACTAAAAAGAAGAGTTTTTGTTAGTGATGAAAGAATGTTGTACACATTATATCTAAGGAAGTATTTTCTTGAACTTACACACTTACACACTACTGCCCTTAGGTAGGGTAGGGCAGGTAGAGTAGGTATGATCTTGAATATTTTTGGAACATTGTCAAATGTGAATATTCTATCTGACTATACTGTTGGCTATGTTGGTCTAATCTAATATACATATATTATTGTAGATACTATAGAAGCTAATGTAGAAAGAACTTATGGTAATGTAGAACAAGCTAATAGCCAACTATCCCAGGCTGCTGTCTATCAGGTTGGTTGTTTTTCCTAATTTCTTACTCCCTGGATTCCGTCATAATTCATAACTATGTGCTATTATTTACTGTGTGGTCAACAAAAATAAAAAAAATTGCAATAATTGACAAGGCCATGCTTCAGAAATGTGTGAAGGTAAACTTCATCTGAAAGTATCATTAAATAGCTAATTTACTTCGATTGGCAGAAACACTATTGAAACATCCTTCATTGCATTTATAAATAATGTTATTTTTCAGAAAAAAGCCAGAAAGAAGAAATGTTGTTTATTAGTGATATTATTAGTAGTGGCCATTGTTATTACTATTATTATTGTTGTTAGTGTTAAAAGTTAATCTAATTGTATTTATTTGTATATTGTTCTACATCAAAATCTACAATGAAGTTTACATCAGTATGAAATTGGACTGTATTTTTATTCCGATACAATGTATAGACTGAGACCAATATTTGTGAAGCAAAATTGAAAAAAAGTTTGAAATTTAGCTTCATTTTCTATCCTATACAATTTATATTTTAATTAAAGGGATTGTAAAGAGATTTTCAAAACTTGCTATGTGTATTAGGGACACTGATAACATCAATTTGCACCATTCCAATTTTCAGTCAGACTCCTGTGGTTGTTAATTTTTGCTTAAACTATGTGTTCTATGAAGTCAGTATCAATAATAGCTTTTGCGATAGTGACGTTATAAAAAATTGAAATGTATGCCAGACTGTGAATTTGATTGGTGCAAATCAATACTATCAGTGTCCCCATCAAGTATAAAAAGTTTTGAAAAACTCTTAACAATCCCTTTAAATGTTAACTGAATATTAAAATCAGGCTGAAAGTATGGAACATTGTCATCTGTAACTAAAATATAATGACAAGGTTGAAGCAAATATCACTCTGTATACTGCATGTTATTTATCATTATTTTCTATAAGATTTCATTTTGATTTTACTGGTGTAATGATTATCAAAACTTTGTTTGTTTGTTTAATATCCTAAGTTCTAATTGCTCATGTTGATACTATATAACTTATACTAAATATTTTTTTTGGAACAGATATTTAGGCACATCTGGGTTTAAAAGTTTAAAACATTTTGAAGTTATATAAGAATATAATAAATGAATTTAATTTCAATTCTTAACAACTCTAAAAAGTTATTAACCCTGTTTGTATAAAAACAAACCCAGATATGCCTTTTTATCTGTGTTCAACGTTTTAAAATATCATAATATGTTAACAGTTTTTCCTTATTGTATAATTTTCTACCAATTTCACAAAAAACTTAACCAAAACAATATCAAGATTTTAAGAAATAAAGTAGGCCTAATCTGATTGGATGCTAAAGATCACATTTAATGATTGACCAATCAGGTAACAAGTTTGACAGGAAGAGTTAAAATATCTGTTAGTAGTTTTTGTGAAAGATGGCCTCTAGGCATCAATTGGTAAGGTTTTATTCTTTAAGTAGAAAGCATTTGTTCTAAGTGCACATGGCACTGTGGCAGCCATTATTTCAATAAATTATATCCAATAAGGAGTGCCATTGATATAAGGGAAACAACCCATAATTTATAGCGGAGCCATGTATGAATAAACCGCATCAAGCAGACTTACGAAAGGGTAACTGACTGATCTCCGCCAATTACATTGCAGCTGAGCAAGTTGAACAGACTCTCTCTGATTTTTTCATGTAGATACATCAACTGTATTTTAGTAGCATATTTTTCATTGTTAGAAATATGTATATAATTGTTAATAGATAATTTAGAATAGCAGAGATATTTGTGAACCTCTAGGCAAGATTCAAAACATAAACACGAGCAGTCTACTTTATCTTTAGGTAGTATGAGTTGTAATGAGCAATGTATATCTGAAATATTTTGTTCCAGTAACTATTTATTTTACCTGAAACAAAATAGAGTGTTCCTCTTCATGTCTGTAATCATACCTGGATGTACACAAATGTCTACGATAAACACCACCAAGTTATATGTTTGCTGTATACACATGCTTAGCATTTGAGTTTAGTCTAGTGCTAGAGTTTGTGAATGTCTTTAGGGTGATTTAACATCTAATGTACTACAGGCCCATAGCTAGCCCAGCGTCTCAGGGGGTTCAACTGTAAGGACTCAACAAGTCATTTAAGTCTTCTAAATTTTTCAAGGGGGTGGGGGTTGGGGGTCAGTTGTCAGTGTATACAGTACATTACAATTAAACTAGGAGGCTTATTCCTCTTAAAACATACGTATATTTAAATGAAATACATCATGAAAATATAATAAGTTTTGTGTAATGAAATGTATACTAAAAGGATGATTATATACTAATATTATGTATGTATATCAGTAGACCTCATTGATGTGTTTATAATATAAAATAGGTAGAAACTTTACATGATATTTGATGCAGTTGACTTCATTTATCATAGATTATACATAACTGTAACTCAGTAGGTAACATCTTCATAATGTCAAGCTATTATGAACTGTGTCTTATACCTTGACTTCATAGCCTTCGTTATTGTATCACGGACGTTTTGAATGTTGTGATTTGATTGGATTGTAAGCTATAGAATACAGCTAATCAGAAGTCTACAGAAGTCTAAACAATTTGGCTGAATGTGTAATCAGGGGCTCTCATTAGCTGTTTTCACGAAAGGTAGCTATTGCAGTCAAGGTATAAGACAAAGTAATGGCTTGACATTGTGAAGATGAGGAGGTTAGAGCACATGGACTCACATCAGCAGGTTGTGTGATTTGTCAAAATAGTGGTTTTGGGCTCTTTCACAGTCAGCTAAGCCTACCGTCAACAGCGCTGGTCAGCTTGTGACAGATGACTTGTTATATATGTTTTGAACCTATGCATGTATATTATAATATTGTTGGTTAATATCCATTATTAGTTACTGTATTAATGACTGGGTATATAATGAAATAAGATCTATATTTATTTGGTGCAGATAGGTAATTAGGAATTATTAATGCGTCTATCTGGTAGACAATATTGAATCATTTAAAACAAGAAATACCATAATGAATTCTTTATGACAATTTTCTGCTTTCATAATGCAGTATCGTATAAATTTGTTTTAGTTGTCATTTTGATAACTTATTCTTGAAGAGAAAACAATTCCCTAACATTTGTTACTATTATGGAAAAGCAGCAATAAGTAAAGAAAATATAATTAGTTTGTGAGAAGGGGATTGGTGGAATATATAAGGTGTACGATAATTATGCACATCTGGACATAATTCAAACACAAACACAAACAGTCAACTGTTTTTTTCAGGTATTTAGTGAAGGGCACATTTGAGTAGGATTCAAAACATAGTTCAAGTCCATTTGACTTAAGTTCGGGAAGCTCAAGTTGTAATGAACACAATATATGTCTGGCTTGTATAGTTCCAGTTACTCTTCAGTTTATCCTGAAAAATGTCTGGTTATGTTTGAAGATGATCCTGAATGTATATTATTATCCCTGTGTCTCTGTATCTGTATGTGTTGAGCAGGGATATTAGAACTCATTCAACTTAGATTCAAGCCATAAACATAAGCAGTCCAATTTGATATGAGGTAGAATAAATAGTTTAAGATACAATACAGGCCAGGTTATGTTGAGTTGATTATAATATAAAGTAGATTGGTCTATGTTAATGTATGAAGATGTGTCTAGATGTGTCTAGATGTGTCTAGATGTGTATAATTATCTCAGTCCCACTCTATATATATATATGTATTGTGTTGTTGATAATGTTATTATTGTATATATTTAGAAATGATTATATTACTTTCTGCACTCCAGAATATTAATAATAATAAATTTGTCTTTTATTAAACTCTTGTTTGTTGAAGGTGAGAATCAAAGCTGCTGATTTAAAGGGATATATTTGTGTTAATACTGTATGTATATGATATGAACAGTTTTAATTCTAATAAGGGCTTAACCAACAGAGGTGCACCTTACAGACATGATAATTTCAAAATGGAAACAGAAGTTGTGTGCAATATATTTATGATCATACCAATCTATTTTCTGATATATTTCATCTCAATTGTGATCTAGCACATTTTGTATGTCAGTCTTGTAGCCAATAACCTTATTTTTAACCAATCAAAGTGTGGCATGTTTAACTCCTTTCTTGATAACAAAACATTGTGAGATAGTATGCTTAGTAGAGTAATATAACATCCTATTAATTTAGGTTTCACTCTACCACAATTCTTCATTGTCCATTCTCATTTCCCATTCTGTAGAAATTTTCATGGCAGCTTAAATTATTCAGCCCAAAATCTACTATAATTGTTAAGATGTACAAATATAGAAAATAAGACGAGAAATTAATAAAAATATTGTATATTGACAAACATGAATGCTGTACTGGTTATTTTACGTCATAATACAAGAAAATATCAACAAACAAACAAACATAATAAATAAACACTATAACAGTAAATATTATCAAAATTATTCTTAGGGTCTTTAACAGATATTTTGGCCAATAAAACTAACAACTTATTATACTTTGATGATCTTTCTCAAAACTAATGTAGAAATATCAATAGAAGTTAAGTTTCCCAATTTGAGATGTCAAATCATTTAAATACTAGTACAAAAAATAAATATCTAAAAACATAAAAAGCTTTTCAACTCTTGTCTCTCAAAAAATACTGTCCGGGCATGTTCTTCTGGAGAGTAAGTGAACAGCCAATCTTTGAAATGCAAACGATGGAGGAAATAGAACACTCAACACTATCAATAATACTGTTAACAATATGTCAGACATGTTTTGACATTAAGAACAGGTGAATAACGTTCCATGTCTCTTATCACTATATTTGAGTTTTTAGTATCATCACATAGAAGCTGGTGAGGGAGCTGATAAATTGCGACCTCTATCATCGCTAGTTTCATTTAAACTTTTACGATGCTCAATCTCTCTCTGAACAACATTAAATTCCTTTTTATTCAGTTTATAAGTTAATTTCCACAGATGAGGGTTGGCTGAATTACTGTACGGCGTTTGATAATGGCGTCCAAAATAGTTAGAATCTTCTAATTTTTTTACTGGTGAGTTTGATAGAAAATCTCTATCTGATCTTGGAGGGGGTATAAATCTATGAGCATATTTTTTAAAATTTTCTGGAGGTAAAATATTTCCTACAAAAATAAAGTTCATATAAAATATATTTTGAGTTAATAGTACTGTGAAATAAAAAATGATATGGTTTTGACTTGAGTTTATCTTATGCTGTTGACACCTGTTGTGGATACAAAACCTTCATCAGGAAAGCTAGCCTTGGAAATGGGGGGTTAACTCATTAACTTAATGAGCAAGGGGAGTGAGCTCACCATACAGGAGCAAAAGGTCGACAAGAAAAATATTCTACAGTATGAAGGTACATGTCTCGAGTCTAATCATTATTATCTTTAGGTTGAATTTGCAGCAGTTATAGGGGTTGGGATAATTCATGGCAAATCAAAAGTTGTTGATAATATTTAAGGGCTTCATAGCTTCATGATTCAACATTAGTGTAAGTAGAATTTAAAGACACAGACATCTGACTTGAAGTTGGAAAAATCTACGCTATCAGTGTCCCCAATATACAAAAAAGTGAGGAAAACCCCTCATTACAATCCTTATAATCAGAAAATGTAAAGATTTGCCTACCGTTTCTGTCAATTGGTGGATGTCGAACTTCACTTTTTATTTTTAATTTTCTCATTTGGAAATCATCATCACTGGTTCGTTTAATGGCCAAGGATTTAAATCTTTCATCTTGGAATAAGTTACTCTCTTTAACAAACTTATTGAACGTGTGCTCTCCTATTTTTGAAGGTGGAGGTATGTTAAGTGGGTACATTGCTGCAATCACATCAGACGTTTTTCGTCCCTCAGCAGAAGTATGGAAACCAAACTGCTTACGAAAATTTCGCCACACATTGCTGTTGTAACTGGCATCTGGTCGAGAGGGGTAGGGTGGGGCACATTTTCCTGCCTCTAGCCACAGTCTATGTTCAACTGAAGGTTGCCCATTTGTGAAGGCCTCAGGGTTAGTTCTTAAAAAGTGATTACATTCAAAGTCTAAAACTGTGGTAGGTTTTTTCCGTGTGGCTAGTTTTTGAACAGATCTAGGAGTAAAGCCAGTATAAGTTGTTTTTACTGGTTTCATCAGTCTCTCTCTTTCTTCTATAGTTGGCATGACTGCTACAGACATTCCAGAGGGCAAATTCTCCTCTCCTGCAATGATACATTTAAAAAATTTCAAATAAAGTATAGATCTATTCAAATTTGAAAAAATTCCATGAAAATTTTGTCTTAGATAACTTGGAACAATGGTATGTAGTTTTATTACAGATCATCATAGAGTTATACAACATGCCCACAAATAGACCTGTTTTAAGAAGGCATCTCGACTAGACCTACCCTATGAAATCCTCTCTCAGTTAATTATTAGGCTCATCAAAACATGTTTTCGTGCCAGACAAAACATTACTAAGTTACCTTGAATTATGGTCCAATCCTATGGTTATAGGCCTAGTTTTTTTTCAAAAGTCTTTGAGTTTCATAAACAATGTGAGGGTGTCTATACTATAGATGAAATGTTTAACTGTACTTTAATCATTGACTCGTTAGCTTTCAGTGAACTACTCTGACTCTTATCGTGACTATAAAATGTGTCAATTAACTGTTTAATTATTAAAAACTTCAACAATGTTAAAGGGTTAAAACAGGTCAACTCATTCACGCACCTGTTGTAATCTCAAAACAGTGAAATTGTCAGCATCTATCGTTCAGCAGACATTTCTCGGAATTGGGCTTTTTGAATTCAACTCACTCACCAATTAATTAATTCTTATTGCAAAGCTGAATCGAAATCGTGGAAATCAAATAGTAAACAGTTATTTTCCCGTTATAGGACGCCATTTTGACGCTACCGTTAGTTGCTATGGTATCTCAGTAAATCTCGCGTAAAACAACAGTATAATAAAACACCTGGCTGTTCCGTTATCCTCCTGTGGAAAATTATAAATAATATTTATTCACATTTTTCTCAATTAAAACTAAATGCTGCCTTATTAAAAATTGTGTGGAGACTGCAAGATCATTACTGATGATATTAGAAAGGAAATATTTATATTTTCACAGTATTTTCAAATATTTGATTGTCCCGTAGTTTTTTGAGGGAGTAAGTTAATTGACTGGATGTAAAGGTAACTGTTTATATTAGGAACAGTAAACATGTCGGGACAGCCTCTTGTTACGTGTTTTACACTTGAATTGTTTTAATATGAATGAACAATGACAGATGGCGTGTAGTAATTATAAACCTACATTTTAGAAAATTATTAGCTTAGGACTGTAGAATAGATGGACTAAAATTTTAGCAATCATTAAATGTAAATTTTGTCAAGTTGAACATATAGGACCCTATATTATTGGATTATTACTATACCGGTATCATAAAGCCTTAACAGGTAAATATATCATGTATTTTATTATATTTGTTTATTGATATTATATAAAACTGTTTACTCTTGAGACAAGATAACGTATCGAATTTCTTTGTTGTGGGAAATCAGACTTATTAATCAACTAATTAAGAGACAGAAGGGAATAATGTGTCAATATTTCTTGACGGTACTTCAAATCTCTGGAGAATGGTAGCCTACACTTAATTTCGGTAGTCAAATTTGCCGTTTTAGTTGATGTCAAAAGATGTATATTTTTTGGAGGGTGGGATGGGGAGGAGCTATATTGATATATTATTTTTCTTCATAGACAACTACTCGTCTGTGACAAATTTTGAAACATTGTTGAATGGTCAGATGGATGTGATTATGAATTTACATTTTATATAGCTAATAGTTTCAATATATATTTTGACATTCACAAATGTGGCTTACCAAAGCCCATGGAACTTAAGCAACGTTACATGATACATGATCATTTTATCATTTAACGTTGCTTAACGAACATGACCGACGCCCGAACTTAATATAAACTAGTGTTCTCTTTGTACTCATATTGGCTTGATGTCAAAGGATTCATCAAATTTGAATTTTTTCGGCTATAATGTTACCTAGGCTGGTAGCTATTGGTAAATATGGGTGACAAGATGGTTAAGTCTTAAACATTCTGGAAAATATTAAAACAGTCCTTGGATTGTGTTTCACGTTTTGCCTTCTTCAGACAATCAAGTTAATTAAAACGAAATTATAATGTAATTTTATCAGATCGTCAGACAATGGAACCTCTTTGTGCTATGTCAACTGCTGATTGTGTATTGCTATAATACAGTAGTATTACAACTGACAAGACGACAGATGTCTTTATTAATACCTGTATTATTTATTAGATACGACAGGTATATGATAGGTTTAACATTATAATCTAAATTGTTTCTATAACAACTCAATAGTTAATCGGACATCGTATGTGCAAACGTTTTTCAGAATTCAGTTATGTTTGCGTTTATGAACGACGTTTTGGCTGTTGTTACCTGAAAATCATTCTACACCACATTTCGGTATCGTTATCATGTTTGACAACCAGAATCCGTCTTTAGCTCGTCTATAATAAGTACTTAAAGCGACTAGTTATAAATCTACATCAAGAGACTTCATGAATTTGTTCAGTGCTTACTAGAATTTTATTCGGGTAGCATGTTAGATTATAAATTTGACATGAAAAAGATAATTGAAGTGATTTTCGTCATTTTTTCTACCTATCTATGTCTGTCTTTAAGAAACGATAGTAGACAAACTTTGTGTTAAGTTTGGTTACGGGATATGGGTTTCATTCAGGTATATTATATGTAAGAAAGCAAAATTTAGAGAACTATATAACTTTATTGATTAATGGGTTTAGAATACAACATTTGATCTTTATGATTCGGAATGTTATGTATGTTGGCAACTATTATAGTAAATCGAAGCATAAAGTGCAGTACGTACACTTTCTAATACAACAATAAACTAGCATAAATATCGCATATCTTAGCAACTTAAGACTTTGTTTATAGACGTTATTGACTGATAATAGTATTACTCAATTGCAGTTAGTATACAATAATAATACAAGACTTATAATAGGAGGGGGTGAATGGAATAGCCGAATTACATTATTATTACCGTTATAGACTATTGTTATACAATATACATTGTATTTACTTAGATACTATACATATAGTTACTAATCATACTAGTCCGATACTTACACACTTAATACCATTTTTCTTGCAAAATCCCCCCATAACACACTGCATGGAATTGCCTGTTTTCATCTGCCAAAATTGGAGCAGAAGTAATAGCAGTAAATCATTCCATTCCCCTTTTAAAAGCTAACATCTGATGACTATACTATGACAATGCCATGTAGAAAACGACAGAAGTTCCGATTCTCCCTTAACTCCCATTTTTTACATGTTTCGAAATATGGGCGAATTTGCCGTTTTTGACGTCCAAAAAAACATAGTCACCGTTGCCAATTGTGTTACGTACGTGGTTACACTCAATTCTTCTTACAGGAAAAAAGTTTTTCCGACTGTCAACTGGTTGTATCTAAAAAAAAATAACTATCGGGGGCCAGAAAACAGTAAACGAGTTTCGGACTGTATTCATGTAGATTACCACAATATCATGTTTAAACTACTGAATAATGGTTTAACTACTGTACGGTATAATCCCATTCATGTCTATATAAATAGGTTTATAATGATAGTCTATAGAATTAACACTATAACAACATTGTTGAAAGGATTATCACCAAACGATATGTCTATAGGTGTAAAAATATGCAGGTTTAAATTTTGTACTACATATTCTCAATTGAATACGTATGGGTTCTATAACTATCTCAAGTCCACAGCTTTTACAAATTTCTACCGTGTTTCTCTTAAGCAGGTAATGCTCGTTCTTTGGACCGATATGATGAATATTCACGACGTCACGTGAATTCATGAAAACGGACCAATCAAACAGCTTGCACGAAGCCATTTTTACGTTTTTTTGTAATTATGAACACCCGCACTACAAGAGTGAATTATACGGCCAGTGTCTATAGGTGTAAAAATATGCAGGTTTAAATTTTGTACTACATATTCTCAATTGAATACGTATGGGTTCTATAACTATCTCAAGTCCACAGCTTTTACAAATTTCTACCGTGTTTCTCTTAAGCAGGTAATGCTCGTTCTTTGGACCGATATGATGAATATTCACGACGTCACGTGAATTCATGAAAACGGACCAATCAAACAGCTTGCACGAAGCCATTTTTACGTTTTTTTGTAATTATGAACACCCGCACTACAAGAGTGAATTATACGGCCAGTGTTGTTTTTCCAGAATAAAATCCGACACTGCGTTCATTTATACAATTGCTTAACACATATTCTCTTTATTTCAGATCACTTTACCCAGTCCCCTAAATGGCCAGTAACAGTAAAGTTAATGATCAATCACACGATAATACAGCCGAGGAGTTATCGCCCCTAAATTCAGATTCGGATACAGATGTGGATTGTAACGGTAAACAAAATAACGGTGACAAAAATAGTGATGATGACTTGAAAACCAAAGATGAACCCGAGGACTCAAAATCCGAGAAAAAAGGTCGAAAATTTAAATCGCGCAGACGACGGAAATTGAGGAGACGAGAGTCTTCTTCCTTGGACAGAACAAATTCAGTGGACACCGTCAGTGAAAAGAGTGGTCTTTCTGCAGAAGGCAAAAAACTTCGTAAAAGAAGTCAACAAAAAGTGAACAAATTTTTCATTGACCCCAATGGTGCTATTGAACGGAAATTAGAACAGAAATATGTAGAATTAGAAGAACTATTGAATAGACAATTTGTAGAACGTAAAACTAACCTAACTCATCTTCATATCGGGCAAATGGAGGTACTACGCCAGCAGTATAATCTATCTTGTCATGGCCTACCACCTACTGGTGTCCAACCTTATACTGAAGGTCCTAGACGCCGACCACATTCTGCACACCATACAACTCCTGTTTGTAAGTAAAACACTGTAAACCGTTATAACAGTCATTCAATGCTAACAATCCACCTTCGGCAGCACACGTTGCTAACGCTAACTGTGAACAGGGGCATCATAAGTGTAAATCGAGATATATTTCGCTTAAACTTTCCTCACTATACACTGGTTATGTCCCTGTATATTGTCCAATGTAGCCCCTCCTC